GCTCTGAAAAACAATGTCTAAAATGAAACACCACTGTGCGATCACAGAGAAAGAGTACTCAGTGCCATCGCTGGCAGGTTTTGAAGGTGCAGCACTGTGCTCACAATTTCCTGGCAATGACTCTCAGAGTGGGCTTGCACACACACACACACACACACACACACACACACACACACACACACAGTGGCACAGCATCTCACCAACATTATGCAACCGACTTCTATAGCTGCACTTGCACAAGAGGGCATTTTGGCCATTATCTGCTTTGCTCTGAGGGAATAAAAACCAGAGTGAAAAGGGGCCGATTGGGCTGCCACAGTTAAATCTGGTCTCTCTTTTCATGTGCAGCTCAGATGATGACTCCAGGGTCACGGTGAAGTCCAGGAGCTGAGAGTTGAGTTTTTTCAGGTTTGAGATTAGTCTCCATTTTGGAGGCACCCATATTGTTCTACAAGGGGTTACAGGTCTGTGAATGTGTGCTTGTATCCACACATGAAACATCACTCTCTCTCACCCTAACAGTCACATGCAGCACACCTCCACTCTCTCCTGAACCCACACACTGACTACACTGCCGCTCTCTTTCTCTCTCTCTCTCTCTCTCTCTCTCACACACACACACACACACACTCACATCTACTCACACACATCCTCCCCAGCCTTACAGTTTTTTGGCATCTACCCTCCTTGATAACAGGTACTCACACAAACCACGACACCCCCCAATCCTTCACGGTTTCTCCAAACTTTGCGCTGGGCGTTCCACCTCACTCAGGTCTGACTATGGCCATCATGTTTGAGGAGCTTGCTTTTTTCCAAAATTAGCCCCTCTAATCACACACACACACACACACACACACACACACACACACGCACATACCCCACACACACACACACACACGCTGAAAATTGAACCTTTCGACTGGATAGATTTGAGGCAGCTCACTGCAGCACGCCTGCTCACATATAGCATTAGTCACAGTTGCAGTGCAATGATACCAAGGGGAATCTGCCTTTACCGTACACTGAAGCGCCTTTCACCCACACACACTCGAGTATGGGGGAATAAAAGAACAGCAAGAATAAAGTAGCCTCTCATTCTGGTCCTCTACATATTTTAATGGGCCAAAGTTTTTGCACACAGGAGGCAGGATACAGTCCTTTCAGGCTACTGACAGAAATCACAAATATATTTCAGAAGATACTGCCCGACAGAGAGTCCCCATAGGAATCTTTCATCGGTTATAAAAATATATAAGTATTAAAAGCACACTCTGAACTCCTTATACACCATTAAGAACACCTCTTTAAGAATATTATTGGAATTTTACACAAGAAAACCATTAAGTGGCAGTATAAACTTCATAATATATGAACAGTAGATACCACATCAGACAAGTCTTGTACATGAACTCCTTCTGAGTATACACTCTATAACACCATAGGATTATTACAGGAATAATAATTTTTTCCCCCATCAGCGCGGTGCGGCTGCTCTCAAACGGAGGAATGCACTTGCAGGAGTAGACCGTGACACCCGTGCACATGCATCCCTTATTACAATACTATAATTGCCGCATGCACAGACAGGTCTATACGGACACACGCTGCGCTGGATCCCTGTGCGTGTTAGTGCGTGCCTGTGTGCGTATGTGGGCATCTATCGAGAAGGCACTCTAGGCTGTTTCTATGCACCCGTCGGCTATGGTGCTTTTAGATATGCCTATTGCATATGATAGTGCCAGAGAGACAGAGGGAGAAGAGAGGGACAGAGAGAGAGAGAGAGAGGGAGAGAGAAAGAGAGAGAGAGGGGGAGAGAGAGAGGGAGAGAGAGAGAAAGAGAGAGAGAGAGGATGGTGAGGAACGGGGGAGGAGGACAGAAAAGAAAGATGCAGTGGAGGACAAAAAAATAATAAATATCTGCTCTGTCTTACCTTGAAAGGGAACATAGGACATGTTCCAACGGCATTGAACGTAGGCTTTGCGTCTCGGCGGTCTCTCGGTGCTCAGAAGTAACGGAGAACCAAATTAGAAATAAATCTGAAAAATTAAAATTAAAAAACACGCGATATAGTGCTATTCACAGTTGGAGCCGAGGGAGAGGCCAATATTCCGCTGTTATAAAAACTGGCATCATAATCCACGACCGCTTATAAAGCGCCCGGTTCCCGGTGCATAAAAAAAATACAGGATGCAGAAATATGTGTATGTGTGTGTGTGAGTGTGTGTGTGTATGTGTGTGTGTTTATTTGCACGCTGCTGCTGAGGTGTGAGGGTGAAACACGAGTGAGTGTGTGTGTGTGTGTGTGTGTGAGTGAGTGAGAGAGAAAGAGAGAGAGAGAGAGAGAGAGAGAGAGAAGGGGGTGGAGGACTGAGCGCGCGCGCGTGTGCGTGTTTCTGTGTGTGTGTGTGGGGGGGGGAGCGCGCACGTTTCACAATATCTATAACCTATCTTTAGCCTATATGCATTTTACAGTTAGTGCTCGCCTCTTGGAATAAAGATATTATAATAGTATTACAGAGAGTGTAAATCCACTGTAAGGCTTCAGGCTACAGTATAGTGGCTACAGTAGGCTACAGTGTGTGTGTGTGTGTGTGTGTGTGTGTAATGTCTGACTTTTACATACCATAATTTACTTCTAATGTGAAAGAGCTTGGCTTGTATATCATACGTTACTGTTCTGTACTAATTAAAATAAATAAATATGCTATAATAAATAAATACATTTTTTTTTTTACATTACTTTCAGGTAAATGGGTCCATTTAGATAGACTTAAGTCTCTGTGACAACACTACACAATGTTTTAAGTATTACAGGTGATTTGTTTCCATCTATGTAGGCTATTTAAATCTGTAATAACTCGGGTTTTGGCTCTTACAACTCCATCAGCCTTACCAGTGAGCCTTACATAGGCTACCTGTTGAAGATGAAGCTAAATGCTGGCTGCTAGGGAAGTGACAATAAATTGTCAATAGACATTAAAGTTGGATTCTACTTGACTGCAACCACTCTCGTCCTCAGCACATTTCTAAAAGGGAGAATCACGCTGGATTTGCGATGCACATGACCAACCACAGGAACTGCATCGAGGAGAGAAGCTGTGGAGCCAAAATGGCGCCCTGAGCCGGAGTGTGCTGCCTTTGGGTGGCGTGGGAGAATTGACAATTACGAGTTAAGCTTATGTGAAATATGAACGCCATGAACGTCGTCAATAGTGGAGGTGTTAATGCTGGTGTTTAGCTATAAGACGTTTAACTTGGTTTGTCGAGTTGTGATGTGCATGTGGTGTGAAAAATGAAAACATATCTAAGGTCTCTGAATTGGCTGCAGCTGAACACATGAAGGTAATTAAAAGGAAAATAAGCAACTTTTGGCTATTTTTGACTAACTTTGGGCTACTTACATGTCTGACATGCATGTCCTTCCTTCTGTTCCTGCTTCAAACACAGAGCCCCTGCGTTTAGATTGATTTTAATACAAACAAACCAAGCTAAAATTGTAGGCCTAGTGGTTGTTTTCCACTAAAAAAACACAGAGTATGTACAGTAACTATATGCTATCATCACTCCTGCTCTTCACAGCTTCAGAGGGACCGTGGAAGTGAAGGCAGCACAGTGCAGCGCCTGCCTTTGGTTTAAATGTTGAGGTGTGCCGCCACCTTGTGGTAAAAACCAGCAGCTGCAAGTGCAAGCTGGGGAATGGAGTCCAATTTAAAACACGCAAAATAAATAAATAAAAATAGATTACCTCATGGCAGAAAGGGCTCTGCTCTATGCTCAAAATAAAATGATAAAATGTACAATTTTACCAGACTGCTTAGTTTCAATTACATTCTTAATGTAACACACCTGTGCATTACTCTTTTTCACAAGAGCACAGGTGTTACTAATAACATTAATGATGGCTCTGTATTATTTAAGTGTCCAAGTGTGAGGGTGAGCCAGCTTTCTCAATGTAAGGATGCATGATCAATTTTATAATTTACATTTCTGTTTTTCTACTGTGACATGTCAAAAACAACAACCACAGAACCAAAGTAGTGACTTTTCTCAGACTCACAACATAATAAGTGACCAAAAGCTACAATAGGGTAATACCTGTCCCATTAAAATGATAAGTGAAAAGACAAGAAGATTTCAATCGGCATCGCTTCTGCTTCTTGGAAATAAAAGGTAATGTCAAAGGAGTGAGACAGAGATGTGGTATTAATCTTTGGAGACATTTAACATTTCCATTCATCTTGAAAACTCATTGTAACTGGCACAAACACAAAATAAACATCTGTCTTTCATTTTGGCAGCAGTAGCACATTTTCTGCCAGAAAAAGTAGTTAATCTTTCCTACAGGACACATTTGGATGTAATGCAATTTATCATCCCCATCAGACTAATTTATAGGGATTCTCTCAAACATTGTTTGATTACCACCTACAGTGGTAGCGATCAATGACAGAAGAAAAAAACAGCCAGCCTCAGTCTGCTTTTGCCTTAAAGAGGATGGTCTGTATATAAATATGTACATTATAAACCTATGAAAATATTATCTATAGGCCATGTTTTGGAGCCTTTCATAGGCAGTTCTTATCAAGGATAATATTGACATGGGCCCATATTTCTCAGACTGCTAAAAGTGACTTTTAGTTTTTTACTTAAGTGAAAGATACAAGTAAAAATACAGTTTAAGCTATTAACCAAACGTTTAAAGGCTTGAAACATGTCCGTTATTGCCTGTTCAGTCAGAGTTCACGATCCTGGTTTGTGCTTGGCTCGAAATGCAGCACTTAAGCAAACATCAACCACATTTTGACAGTGATACGCTCAATGGCTGTGGTTTTGAAAGAGCAAATATCGTACTTATAAAACACAACAGGGTCAGTTATATTTTAATTTGAAAAATAGAAAATACAGACAGATGGATAGATACTGAAAGAAATAAGTGGACTGTAAGACAACTATTAAATTAATGATAATCTATATGTACTAATAGATGAGAAACACATTGTACGAGGTGAAACTTTTTTTATTATTCATGTTACATACTAGGTGTCAACGCAGAGTATACATGTACAAACGTAATTTCTCCAAAAATACATCAAACTGAACTTGGACTTGACTACTAATCCAAAAAAAAGAAGACTACCTCTCCCAAAATAAATGTTATTCCTCAATGTTGATGTCTTTATTTCCTCCTATTTTGTTTTTAAACTTATCAATTTGAGTTCCACCAAGGGTACAACCTATAACAAGCACTTGACGGGTATAGACATACCATAGAAAACACACAAATACATTCATCACCATCGCCTAGAAAGGTTCAACACACGCCTTCCTAATAAACTACAGTCAAATAGTCACTGAGGAGGATGAAAATTGCAATGCAACATCATTTCACTGGCCTGAAATGTACGCAAAAGGTGCAGGAGATAGTTCAACAGAGAGGTCGGTACTTAAATAAAATCTGAGAATTTTGCATTGGTTTGATCATAACAGTATAAATGCTGTATTTGTCTTTTGCTTTTTTCAACTAAACCTGTAATACAGTCTTTCTTCAAAGACAAAACTGATAAATGTAAATGTTGTGGACGTTTTATCGCAACAGATTGCTGAAATAAACCTCTGTATAAAATATAAACTCTGAAACTTGCACCACAGTATTCTAGATTTGTGTAACCTGTTTGCACAAAGATAAAATCCAACTTCAGCACCTCACTTGAGTCTATAAACACATCTGAGAAGATCAGTCGAGCCTTGACTTATGAATTCGTGCTTAATGCCATGTTGTACCTTTTAAATTATAGACTGTTAGACCCTGGAAGATATTATGGGTTTGAGTTAGGAGTTGGGCCTATCAGTGTCTTCTCTTCTGTACTGTTACTTTGAACGCAAGGATTGAACTCCCCACGACATGAAACTGAACGCCAGCTGTAGAGCGGCTGGACCTTTAGCTGATCTTTATGACATTTAACACTCATCGAAAAACAAAAGAAAAAAAACCCGTTCTTTCAACGTAATTTCCATTCTGATGACTTCAAACAGACATTTCAGTAACATATATATTTCTTTTTTGTTGTTTGTTTGGAATGTACAGTAACATCACAGTCTGTTTCTGATTAAAAAAAACTCTACTCAACATTATAAGTGGTCCTTGTTTACCCATGTAGTTGTACAGTATCTGTCAACTTGATAAAAAGCCATACTCTTATTTAGTGGCAATATGGCCTCGCTCATCTGTCTGTGGTCTGATTGGTCGACTCGGGTCAGCAGACCAATCAGCAGGTACGCAACCCATATAGGCACTATGCAACCACGTCAAAAAAATAAAATAAAGTTATTTGATCATAGCAATATATTGTGAATATATAATTCTATCTATAAAACAAAAGCCCTCTTGTGGCTCCTATTTCTAATACATACAGTAGTCTAAATGTAAATTATGACAAAATCTAACATAACAAATAAGTAACCCCGTAATAACATGTATACAATCTCTTATTAACATACTGCGATGAGGAAAAAATATGAAAACCTCCAGAGAATTTATTTTTTCATGAAGCCAAACTCAGACAAGCTGGTGTCTGAGTAGATGAAAGCGCTGGGAGCCTTTAGCTGGAATCTCTCAACCACTACTGTCAAAGTGCCCTTAAGCAGGGCATTAAACCACCATCTGTGTGGCGTACAAAATATTGTATAAGACATGCTGCACTGCTCTGTCTCTTCCTTGCCAATAAAAGGTTACTGCTTTTTCATGAGCAGCCAGTAGCCACCACCCAGCTGTCGTCATGCCTCTCTCTGATGAGGGACCATTCATCACTGTTAATTTCTGGGCTAATTTTCTCACTGAACTCCACGTGAACATTAACCGTCAGTTGATGAATGAGCAATTATTACAGTGAAGGATGATGGAAGTGTGGTGTTGGCTACCGGCTGTTTTGCTTACTCACCCCTTGGGTATCAAATGCTGGGAAACGTTACTTTTTGAAGTACCCACAATTAAATGTCTAGATGTCTAGACACTAGGGCCACCTGCAGCGGCCTTTTGCCGATCTCCCGAGGCTCCCTGCGGCTTTAGCAAAAAATTATGTGGAAATTAATAAAATAAATTATTTTTTAACATTTTTACTCTCTTTTATCATTGTTGTAGGCCTAAGGTGATTCTTACATTCTCCAATTGTAAAAATGCCATTACACCGTGGTGCCTTTTCCTCAATAGAGGTGGCTCCTAGTCTTCAGTCTCCCTAGATAAGCTAGCAATAGATTCCAAATCCAAAAAAGAAAAGTAAAATAGAGAATTTCATAGTGCATGGGCAGATTCATTTGCTCTCACCATCAGCACTGCCACTTTACCGATGTGCTTGATCTGTGGTGAGAAATGAACATTATAATCAAGTTTTGTGGCAGATTATTATAATGTTTTGGGTCAGAAATGGCTTGTTTGATAGTAAAGATTGTCAACCCTTGCTCTAGACTATAACTGGGCTGAATTTGGTTTGAAAAGTGAACAATTTTTGACACTCAGACACTCAGACAATCAGTGTTTCAACAACATTTGAATGATTATAATTCAATACAAAGTAAGGTCAAACTACACATTAAAATGTAGTCATTGAAATGCTGGAAAAACATTAAAATAAATGTAAATTATTTTAATTTGAAAAAAGGTAACTCATATCAAGCTGACTTATTTATCTTTTTTCTTAAAGAAATGGTTCCACATTTTGGGAAAATATGCTTATTTGCTTTCTTGTACAAAGTTGTCAAAGAAGATCAAGACCACTTTCATGTCTGTCCATTACATATGAAGATACAGCCAGGAGATGGTTAGCTTAGCTTAGCATCAAGACTAAGCAGGAGGAAACAGGTAGGACTATTTCTTGCAGTGACTTCCTGTTGTCTTATCCAGGGCATGATCACAAAACAAATCACTGTTTATTTGTGAGCTTTAGAAGTACTGAAAGGCCTTTGTACAGAGCCAGGGTAGCTGTTTCCCCCTGCTTCCAGTCTTTATACTAAACTGACTCTCCATATTTACCATACAGACATGAGAGAGGTATCAGTCTTCTAATCTTACTCTCGGAAAGAAAATAAACAAGAGTGTTTCCTAAAATGTCAACCTATTACTTTAAATTAGCCGCATGTAGTCTGAATGACAAACTAAAAATTTGTATTCATGTAGAATAACATAACAAATCAAAGTAACAGATTAAATAACACTTTAAACCTTCTCAGTATTTCTTTTTTCTGTTCTTACTTTTGCAATGAAAAAGCAGTAATCTATCTTTTCTTAAGTACTACACTGTTCCAGATATGAGTACAATCAAAGACACGTTCTTCTTGATGTGGCCCAAAGATTTACAAGTAATAAGGAGGTTTAAATATCTTCCCTCATCACTGTAAAACATGATAAATGCAAAGGCATATTCCAAAGTTAACAGTACAAATATCAGAGAAACACTAGCAAAGAGGGACATTTAGTAACGAGTAGTGAGCTATAATGATGTAGAATAGAGGTGATACTATGAGAGCAACCTGGATTTGCAACGTGTAGGAATTTTTTTTTCTTTCTGTTTTGTTTGTACTTTAAACACTGCCACATATTACATACACAGTATTCCTGTGGCAACTGCAAAACAGTCATTGCGTCTCGTGTTTACTCTCTTTGTGTCAGTATAAACTCACATTTTCCCACTCCACAAGGTACTGCACCTTCCCGTCTGGCGTGACACGTCTCGCCAAGATCCTCACCGCCTCCCCTCCTCCCCAGCTCCTGGCCACTGTCCCATCCCCACCTCCAACTACCACACCTCCACCGCCGCCGCCACCTCCTCCCCCTCCGCCTCCTCCACCTGCACCACCTCCTCCGCCCATGCCGGCCTGGTAAGGGGGCAGATCCCGCAGGATGAGGGGCTCCAGCTGTTTTTGCCCCTGCTGGTGTTGGTGGTTGTGTTGGTGGTTGTGTTGGTGGTTATGTTGGTGGTTGTGTTGGTGGTTGTGTTGGTGGTTATGTTGGTGGTTATGTTGGTGGCTGTGATGGTGCTGGTGGAGGTGCTGGTGGTGATGGCTGCCATTGGAGTTGAGGGGGTATGGGAAGCAAGGTGGTGGTAATCTGCAGGTGTCCTCCACGCTAGGAAAAGAGATAGAGACAAGCACAGGAGTCAGGAACCATCTCATTCAAATGTATTATTTGTAAATGTATATATAAAGGTTTTATTTATGAAGAAACATACATTAACATACAGTTTCTACCACTGCTTCTTCTACCAAAGTGGACTTAAGTGGGAATTAGTCGAATCTAGTGTTGTTATTGCAGCTCTATGGCTTCACCCTCCCCTTCCAAGTACGAAGGAGAAACTATGGTGGCCGCAACGTAGTGTCATTAGATACAAACATCTCATTCTAAGGTAACAGCATACTTAAAAACATAATTATTTCTATACTCAGGTGATTATACACTATAATGAAAACACAGTTGTCCATATTATATTCCATTTCTGCCAATAGAGCCTGCAAAATGTTACACACTGGACCTTTAAAGGTGCTCTAATCGATGTTTTTATGTATCAAATGACTATGTGTAAGGTGAAAGGGTTCACTCGTAGTGATGAAACCACATAAAATCATCGAACTCTGCAGTGCCTCTCAGGTCTACAACGCATTTTAGCATCTTTTGGGACATTGTTTTGGTTTCACGGCTGCAACTTAACTGTTTTGGTTCACTCGCACTGCTATCATCAATCTCGTTTCCTGCCGTTTTCAGCACAAAGCGATAAAAACCCGCGGTCCACTACCTGCCCAGCACCAAACAGCAGACGGACAAAATTAATGCTTGCTGGTGAACGTAGCTAAAGAGGCAGAATATTTCCTTCAAGAGCTGGACTAAGACAGAGCTAAATGGAGAGTGGATATTGGACTTGCGTTTGTCGGTTGTCCAGACACACAAATCCAAATGAATGCTAATTTTGCATCCATGTCTGCTGGATGTGTAAATAGGTAAATCTTTGCTAACATGTTCCCCATATCACCTTTATAAGGTGATAATAAATCAATACTGTGTTTACGCTGCCCCCAAGTGGCCCAAAAAGTCAATTAATGCAGGTTGAACACAAAGTCATCAATCCCAATAGTAAGTACTACTCCCAAGGTGAGTTATATTCCTGAATAACAATTAGTAGGGCTTGACAGTTGATCAGCATTTCAATATATGACTTCTGAAAAACACAATCACAAGACAACTCAAGAAGGTCCAAACGAGGCCAAAATCATCTTCTGATAACATGTTTTGATTGCATACAGTGATCTAATGTTGGACCTCATCAACAGGGACACACAGTGTACTGTTTGTAGAAGTTTGCCAAATCAGAATCAGAATATAAATTATATATTACTAATATGTAGCAATGACTGTAATGGTGATAAGTGTTTTTAAGGACTCACAAATCTGCTTGCAACTCAAAGTGTTTAATGCTAAAGATATATCTCCAAAAAATATATTCTTTTTTACAGCCAATGATACTTTAGGTAATGTGGAGGAAAATATAAAAACTGAAGAAAATGAGCTGTTTAACTGTCGAAATGTCCTGGTGAAAAACGTCTTCAAGAGCTAGGGCTCAAAGACAGCAACTGAAGGGTCAGTTGGTGCTACAAGCAACCGCAGAGCATCTGATACGTTAAATAATTCTGTCTGTTTAACTTGTTTCTGGAACAGTACAATCGCAAAAAAGCAGGGGAACTCAATGGAGCCACACAGCTGCCGACAGTAAAATATTGTGGTTGAACAGAGCAGCTTCCACATGTGACTATATAAATGTCCAGCAGGAGTTACTAGAAATGAGGATGATAGATGAGTAAAACCTGTTGTAGTGATGGAGGCTCCTGGAGAGTGCAGTATTTCCATTGTACGAGGTGTGGTACAGGGCATACATCCGCTTGGGTGGAGAGCTGTGGACGAGACACACTTGGTTGATTTACAACTTTTATGTAAAATTAAATATATTTCCATCTAGCTCTGTTTCATAACAGTATAAAAAAAACATGTTTTTCAACTTTCCCCCTGTGATACCTAGTCATTTTGAGTTTTGATTTTGAGTTTATTTACTTAAGTTTCCAGATATCTTCTGATAAGACCTCTGATATCACCCCAATAACTGATCACGTGATTGAAAAATGTATCTGAGGTGGATATCTCAAAACCTACAATATCTGCAGCATATTACTTCATATGCAAGACAGGGTGCTGATGGTGCTTTTTTGTCACATCACACTATAATCTATTATCAGAAGCACTGTAAGATCTGCGGGAAAGTCAAGGTCAGGGACAAAACTTAGACATCCTGTGCATGAACAAAATACTAAAATTCAAAGGCAGTTTTAAAAAAAATGTCAGCGGTTTGGTTGAAAGTGCATTGCCCCCCACTCAACGCATTACAGCTATACGTTACAGGTCATCCTTTCACTCTTCTCATACCTCTCAATAATATACCAGTACAGAAACCACAATGGTACTACACCCCTTACCTCAAACTAAGCTCCTCCTCTGACTTCCTGGAGTTGTAAAGGCTGGCCCCTCCCATGTAGCCATGGCAACATGGCAGTAGCTCAATGGGGTTGGCAGCAACTGGGGGTGGACAAGCCTGGGCACAGGAGACACACACAGATCAACTTGTCTGGATGCCAATAACATCACAGGAGTCAATCAAGCTCTGATACCTCTGTGCTCAGACATGCATGAAGTTAATGCTACACACGGAATGCACAGTTTCGTAATAAATACGTCTAGAAGGTTTTACATAATGAAAACATTTTAAACTGAGTTGATATACATTTTGTATATTTCTGCATTTTTAAAATAAAACAAAACACACAGGCGCTCGAATTCCATGTTTCTCATTTGCCCGAGGACAGATGTGGGCAGATATGTCTATAAATCCACACTACTAGCATTAATGGATGTGAGTCACATCATCAAGGCTCATCAGACACAGCCGTAGGATGTCCCGCTTAAATGTATCACCTCACATCTCATGGAGCTGGCTGGTTAAGCGAGGCAGCTCTCCGACTCAGAATCCATGAAAAGTAAAAACATCAGAGCATCATCAGAACAATCAATCACTGGAAACGTCATCTGGGGGGCTGCCACCTAAAGGTTTTTGCATTTCTCATCACGGGACTGTGACATATGGCACCACGCTTGGGCCATTATCATTCCCTTCTCTAGCATTACTATTAGGATGGGAGATTATTATTCAGTGGCCTTAGTCGACGTCTGTGCCTTTAAATGGATGTGCTCTGTCAATGCTGCACTGTCAAGGTGCCAGCGCCACCTGGCCAAACTGTAATCGACTGCAAAGTGCACTTGGAAGTGATCCCAGGCTATGCATATCAGCATTCCTTCCCATCTCACTTTCCCCACTACAACAAACCTGCTCCTCCAAGACGGATGGAGATTAGCATCAATCAGAGGGGCACAATGGGCCCTGGATGTGCCAGAGTGAAAACGAGTGCTCTGTGGAGCGTATTGTTCCAGGATTACTGTATGTGCACGTACACAGATCAGAGTGTTGTGTAGGAGGACACACTACAATGAGCATTCTCGGTTAAGAATGCTGTGTAAAAATAGTAACTGCCACATGTGATGTTGCCTGTTTCAATGCGATCCCCTGGGAATTGGGTTTGATGATCATGATAAATGCGGTGCTGAACTGCAGATGCTGATGAAATACATGAGCGGGTTTTTTGTGCAGCCAAGTTTGCATTTGAATTATACATTTTAACTGAGCCAAACACGCGACACTTCATCTCTCACACGCTACCTTTACTCTAACCATAGACTCTAAAGCATCAGCAGGCATTAAACATACAGCAAAAAGGGGAAAGAAAAAATACTGAGGCACTGAGCTGCACTGGGTGTTAAAAGACACGCAGACTGATCTAGACTGCGAAATGAACCTTCATCACAGCGTCTGACTGACAGGTTATTTGGATCGCAGAGAGCTGTTTACCTGGCTGCATAAGAAAAGAAAAAAAGGAAAAAAATAATCAAAGAGGTTTTGTGGCCCAGACCTCCCTCCTCACCCTGAGTTGGAGACAGAGGCACTGACCTGTGTCTCCATGATGCGACGCTTTGATTTACGCGAATCTGTCCCCCCCACTCTCCTCTGGCAGGGTAGTGACAACGGGCTGAAAAGAACAAAAACACACAAAAATTAATATACAAGCATAAACACACAGATACAGTCCCAGTGTGCAATGCTGAGTTTATTAGTTTGCTTCCATAAAAGCCTACTGAGAGGTGTAAAATACAAGAGGATGAGAGCGGTGAGATGATATACTGAATGATTTAGATGTTTTATATTAGTAACAGATTTTACATATACATGAGCCCAAACATCATTAGCAGGGAAAAAATAACATAAACACTGTATATCTTGTTCTCCCCAGATTTCCCTCATTCACTATCTACTCTGCTATGCTTGAAACTGAACTTGTCTTCCGCAGCTTGTCTTCCGACTTGTTTATATAAAGAAGACTGGAGGTCTAAAACCCACAAAGTAACCCCTAGAGGCTGAAATGTCCATCACAACACAAAATTCGATAATGCTGAGTGGAATGAACAACATACTCTTCATTCTGCTATAATTGGAGCCGTACGGGTAGTAGGAATTTAAATGTATATTTTGTCCTGGGGGCGATGCTGAAGAAAAGAGTCTTTAAGATCAAAAGGATTTTTCCTCATAAGTGAACGTGTTCAGCAAATTGCAGGACAATCTGGCCACTTGAGTGTGAGACATCTTGTGTATAAAGTTGACATTTTGGCCTGAGGGTGATGCAAAAGATAAGGTGGTGTCTGAGATGGAAAATGTTTACCCTCTGGAGAGCATTACATTCTGTTACAATCTGCCATTTACAGTAGACTTGGACATTTCTTGTGTGCAAATGGGAATTCATTGAAGACCCGTTTGTAGTATTTTGCATTCAAAGATGATCATTTGATTTGAGGAAAGCTAGAGGAAAGCTCACTGAGTGTTCAGCCTCTGTGGACTGTGAATATCTACAGCTATTTTAATGATAATCCTGCCCATTAATTTTAGAACTCTGGGTTTAGTCTGGGTCATAGAAGACAGTGTCAGTATATAGAAACTATACATTTGGACTGCGGATATCTCTGGAATTGGATAAACTAATACTTATTGCCTCTGATGTGATCGTTTGAACACTGTCCATTTGGTAGGAAGCAAACTGACTTCACTCTATTCATCGAACAACTCAGAAAGAGCAGTGAAGTGATTCCAGCCAATAAGATCAGTGTCTCTTTGCAGCTTGTAGATATGAATGACTTGTCATATATATATTTATCATATATATATATATATGTATATACTTTTGTTTCAGTCAAATAATCAGATTTCTTTGTAAAACCCACCACCCCCAATCACTTCACTTCCCTAAGACTGCTCCTCTGCAAATTATTTCATTGTCATTTAGTCTGAATAAGCACCAGCTAAATGCTACAAATGCTTTAAAATGAAAAGCGTGTCTATGAAATCTGCAGACTACACGACACGTGCACACACACACACACACACACACACTTACAGATGTACAAACGTAAGCACACAGGGGGGTTTTATACTCTTTTAGGAGATTATTAAGACACTGATACTTTTGCTGGCATATGAAAATTGCAGTCCTTTGATTCCTAAAGTTAATTGTTCATGCATAATGACTATATGCCCTGTGGGAGTCCCAGAGCTCTTATTGAGATAAGGGCTGAGAAGAGAGACGTTGTCCTTACTCTGACCTTCTCCGGTGCGTGATGTTGATAGGTGGGTCGGTGATGAGGGGCGACGAATCGGACGTCAGCGGAGGTGGGGCCCGGACCTGAAGTCCAAAAAGACACTTCTTCTTCTTGATCTCCTTGCCAGAGACAAACCTGGTGGGACATCAAAGAAACAGCTTGTACAGCCTGGTGTTGGTTCTTAAAATGTATCATCCCCTTCTGTAGGTGTATTTTTTTATTACTCCTCTTTGATGCTAATAATGAATTCAACATTGTGCAACAAAATGTACTCTTTCTCCTGATGGAAAAGTAGACTCAGGAACATTTCAGGTAGTTAGTTTCAAGGTAGTGACTGTGTAATTAAGTATATATAATTAGAGCAGACCTGGCCTAGAGAAATTCTGAGTTCTCTTTAAAAAAAAAAGAATTTACAGAACTAAAGAGCACTAAGAAGACCCATCTATTCATGGAGCACTACTCATCAATCCAGTCATGTGTGGTCGGTGTTTATTCTTCTCATCATATGCGATGACTTACCTGTCCTTGTGGGAGTTCAGAGCGTTGAGGAGATTGTGACAGCGGTCTTGCCTTGGCGTGTCAGAGAGCTAGAGGACAGACAGGAATGAAAAATCAAAGCTGTGTTTACACAGTGGACGGCCATCAGACAGAAAACCTTTAATGCATACAATAATTTTCTTTTACAGTGGCTGACAGCAATAGTGTTAATACAGAAAACTACTTGTTGCAGCTACATGGCTTAAAATCCCCCCGCTGTCATGTTATGACAGGACAAACATTTCAAAATGTCTTTTAAAAGCAGCTTAAAGGAGAACCCAAAACCTCAGATAGATGTACAGGAAATGCTCAAAAAAATCCCCCTGGTGTCTCTCTCAGTCACCTCCACTTTTATCTTCCTGTTTATTCTCTGTGGAGCAACTTTAGACTTTAAACCAGATGGTGTCACAACTTTGAGCCATAGCACTCTAGTTTGAGGATTTGTCAAAACTCATTCATGTTTATAAATGCTGCTGAGAGTGTCCTAGATCATGATTCCCAACCAGGTGTGCTTGTCCCACAGGTGGTACTTCAATCACCAGAGATTGTGGAATAGCTGAGCTAAAAATATTGCATAAATAGCTGAAATAGACAGTAAAGCTACAGTAAGGAACTTTTGGCTCCCCCTTCTGGCAGTGACAGTAATAACACTAACACTATTTGCGTATGCTTACGACATACACCTCCACCATACCCCTACTGTGTCCCTACAAACCAATCAGTGCTGGTTGGTGTAAAACGCATTAGTACGAGTGCACCAGTGCGGGAATGTCGCCACAGATTCCAGATTTAAAAACTCCTGCATAGTGTGAAATTCAGAGCGATTTACCTGGCAGTGATAAGCTTAATCAGTATTGTTTGAACTTGTTTGCCAAGGGCTTGAACAGTGTAAAAGTTGCGCACTCCAGCTTTAATTGATAAGCAGTTGAAACCGTTAACTAAAAGAAATAGCTAAAAGATGGATAAATAGTAGAGTAGTGGCAGTACGAATGCAGACCAGACCAACCTAATCAATTATATGAAACAATATTGTAACAGTATAAATTTTTATACAACCGTAAGTAACAGTAATTACATCCAATTTAAAACTAAACACTAACTAAAATGACCACATTTGATGGAACATGACGGATGGTGATTGGTGCTTGGTCTCATCAGGTAGGCCTGTGGGGGTACGTCAGCCAAAAAAGGTTGGGAACCATTGTCTAGATCATAAAAACGCACAATGTCATCTGCAATTATTTAACTTAGTGGTGTTCCCCTTTAAGCTTACGTAAAGGTCATACTTTTTTTTAAACATTAAATTTAACTTTAATGGTGGTTAATAGGCTTTAAGTCTCAAATGCAAAAGGGCTGGCAGCATTTCACATCATTTCATCATGGTGCTTAAAACGAGGAAATATCAATACCGCGCCTAGGAGCAACGACTCCCAATTCTCATTGGTGAAGGACAGGATTTCATGGTCAAAATCAAAGTATTTCCTCTTGCAGCACAGCGAGAGATGGTAGAGCACTAAATGAGCCAAATCCACCCTGCATTTAAAATTAAAATATAGCACAAATTAGATGATAAGAAACAGGTAAAGAAGACATAAAACATATACTTTTACATATTTCCGAATGTTTTCCAACATTTGTGTGTCTAGTTTGATATACCACATTTTTTTAATTACATTTTGCAATATCAGTCTGTGTTGTGTCTCTTACTAGAATTGGACTGTATGTACTGAAAAATGACTTTTTTCTTAAAATCTGATTGAAGAAGAAAAACAAGAAATTAGCGTTAACGCCTGATGTTATTTCTATAACCACTGTGTAAACTTTAAGTGGTTAAAAGGTTTTGCTGTAAACATCACCAGGTCATGGGTAGTCTTTGGATGGTCTCTGGCCCCTTTGTACATACTGAGCACTGGAACTGATAAAACCTATAAACAAACACATGGGAGAAAAATTCAGAAAGGCATCATGTGACTGTGAAGTCATTTACTCTGAATAAAAGTGTATTTTTCTCTTCCTTGATGAGTTATCATTTGTCATTTAGTTTCAAAAACATCTTAAATGTCTTTCATTTTCATCCTCACTTGCACAATCTCTTCTTTTAAAGCATATTAGCATTTTGTCCAAGTTTATTTTCCACCTTGCACACTTATCATTTAGTCCAATTGTATCATACACACTGTGCCCCCCCCTTTACTTGCAGTCTCTCTTCTCTAGACATTTCATCATACAAATCAATCTGAATTGGAAATAAACAGACAGGTGTATCTGTTTCCTCGTAAGATTGTGTTCTGGGTGACCCTGAAACTCACACCACAACAACATTACGTGCATCTGTCCTTCTATATGCTTGTGTTCGCTGAAGGTCATTGAAAAAGATGAAGAGCAGACACAGTATGACGGCGGCACATGCTTGCTATTCCAACTGTGAAGTCAGTCTTCACTCTTCCTCCATCACCTGCTCAGCAGATGTTGTACCAATCCGGCCTCACTCTCCCAGACTGTCAATCTAAATCTAATCCCTCCTTTTTTTTCAGACAGGTTCGGCAATAACACGGTGTCAGGGTGGGAGTAGAACTCAGTCGGCTAACACAGATGGTTAATGACAATAATAACTTAATGGATGGATACATTTTATTACACGCGTGAGAAGCAGCCTATCAGACTGCACTGTGATCAGCAGCTTGCGTATCCTCCCAACATCATATCTGAACTCCTAGCAGAGAGGCGATATGTCTGCTCTGTTGTCTGTCTCTGTCCCTTCGCTCTGAGTGTGTGAGGCGCTGATTGTCCTTGTAACACAAGTCAGTGAGTACATTAACATGCGCACTAATGATTTAGTCTTAAGCTAATTAAGGTAATTCTCTGACAAGTGAAGCTGTCATGTAGATGTCTTCATCTGATTATCTTAATCAAACTGGAATCTTCTACTTGTAGATTAATCTCTTAGTCAATTGACAGAAAATGTATCAACAACAATTTTGATAATAGAATAATAGTTTGTTTTTATTGACATTGACTGGTACCAGCTTCTTAAATTAGCAGTTTTTCTGTTTTATATGATTGTAAACTGAATATCTTTGAGAGTAAAGATGTGAGGTTTGTATGCACTGTATGATTACTGTATAAAAAGACAATGAATTGTTGTTCATCAAATTCTTAAGGGGATTATTTAGAATGATTTAGTGTTCAAAATGTACTTATATCTTATATTTACTTATTTACTTTGCTTTTAACATTGTCTTGGTAAAAGATTAAAAGATTAAAAGTATAAGTATCATTACCCATAAATCTTAAATGACCAAATGTGAGAGATCAGTGCCAAAAATCTTAAATGGTGCTGTAAAAAAGCTGATATCAGTCAATATATTTGGAGTAGCATGTATTTATTTTTACTCTCAAATATTGATATCTGCTTCAAAATCCAGACACACTCTAGTTCTACCAAATATTAAGATACACTGAGTTTTGGTGTCAGAATGTGTGTCACCTATACCAAATTCCTACCAGACTTCTTTTATATTTGTAATGACAAAAATATAATTGTGAATATAAAGACTCCAGAGCTTTTTACAACAATGCTCAGTAACGCACCTGTCTCCATACAGTAATGGCTTGGTTAGACACTGTGTGCAGGCCTCGTGGAACCACTGACCACAGCTTCCACACTGCAACATCTTCAGGTTCCACCTGCAGTCCGACATGAAAACATCAAGAGACTTTAAATACGTGAACGAATACATGTGTCTAACATTTGTCACCAGACTATTTATGCTTTATTGAGGGAAGACTGAATGCTGTGTGCCAGTTCACATTTTCTGAGATGAAATGTGTCTTCAGGTGTAAACTCCTTACTAAAGATGCTGCGGTAATAGGCAGTTTGTTTTAAGCAAAAGAGTGCAACACAAGTAAAGCAGTAAAGCATGGAAAACACAGCAAATGCATTAAAAGATTAAAACATAGTTTGATGTACCATTTTTTTTATTGACAACTCACCTGACAGTATCTGAAATGATGCAGTAAACATCACTCATATATCATTCCAAGAAGAGCAAGCTCAAACCGCTAATACTGTCTGACACGTCTCATTTGCTGCATGCAATTTGCAAACAATCCGCAAGATGACTTTGAGAGAAAATGCCTAATATTAAAGAGCATACACAAACAGTACATTCAAACTTAAACTGGCCTCTGCAGTGTCACTCACTCTCCAGGTCCGGCACAGTAGCAGTAACACTGTTGCTGATTGGTCAGATGCTGCGGGTCCCAGTCTAAAGACGACAGCTGGTAGGGAAGCCGGAGTTTCATAAATTGCATGAGCCGGGCGAAGCGTCCCCGTTTGAGGGCCCCGCCTCTCTGAAAACACAATTTTAGGACAGAACTGATTGGCTGGTGACCCCTCAAATCACTGTCATGTCAGAACAGCGAGGGAGACGGATCACATTTGGTGGGGAGAAAGCAATTCGTCTCATTTTATTGTAGGTCAGCTGTGAGAGATATTGTCCGAAGCGGCGGAAGTCTGGACAATGAGATATGGACATTGACCGATTGACAATTAACTGGGTCCTTTCTCATCTCATATCTACAGAACTGGAGCACATGCGATTGATTGACTTTAAATGTACTTCTCTCAACTTCAGCGTAATTTTTCAGCTTCATAACTATTGATTCTTCATGATTTCTCGGACACAATGTAGAACATCTAATATTGAACTCAATACTGAGGGAATTAGTGCGCTTTTGCCTCGAGTAAACCCATTTTCTGCTGTACACAACAGTATAGTGGCAGTAAAGCCTGATGTATTCCACTGGAGTTCTTCCATATTACACACTGAATGTTTTTTCCCCGGAGTGTGAGACAGAGAGATTAGCAGCCTGACCTTGGTTGAGACTGCAAAGACACATTGCCGACATATCCACGAATCGCTGTCAGCTTCCGGTTCGATGGTTGGCGTGTGGCACTCTGGATGATAACCTGTAATGGGAGGAGGAGGCAGAGCGTTTAATTCGTGTTTTCAAGACAGACAGCCGGAGTGACAATAATGGCAGAGCAGCTCCACGTTTAGTGCTCTGCTGGTTTGTTTCAGCAGCATGCAAAACATTTTACTATACTATTTGCATCTAGTATGTTTTTTCTGCTTTTTCCCTCGAAACAAGCTGTCAGCAACCCGGTTTGAGCTGTGAAGACATGATGGTAAAATCTGTTGCTCTTTCCTGCTTGTGCATCCTGGTGCTGAGTGTTTGTGAAACTTCTACGCACTTGCACTTTCGTTTAATGTTGTATGTGAAGAGTTCGACGCCAAAAGGCTGTTTGCACATCCATCTGCTGGCGGAGGAAAGTTTCTTTGTGCTCACTTTAAATGAGGTTTTGAATGTGTGCACATTAGAGCATGATTAACATGTTTAGAAGCCAGTGCACAAACACTGAAAGTGGACTTTACAGTTAAGTAGGAGACATATTGCGTTCAGAAGTTAAACTTTTCAAATCGACAATAGTTTCATATTCATAGAGGTTGGGTGTTTTTAATGAGGGATAGGGAGTAGGTGTGATTTTGAATTACGTAATTCAACTTTTTTTTGGTGGAAAAAACAAAAACATAAATTATAATGCATTGCAGAGTATTTTTTTTTTATCTCTTAATATATCTCTGGAGGTGATCTTCAAATTAGCCCAAGCAAACCTCTCATGTGGCATTTAAGTCTATGAAGAAAGTTCCATGTCTAAGGTTATCTCATTTTCATTCTAGTCAGGATGCAGGTGCAACAACTCATATCTATCATTTATGATAGGGTTTTCTGTGCCGTTGTTATTTTAAGAGCAACACTGTTATTTACCATACTGTGTCAAATCTTCAAGGTCAGTGCAAGAGGTGGTGGTGAGCCACCGCTTGACAGCATATGATCAGGCGTGCTTCCTTACCGTGGCGACATTTAAGACAATTTATGAGGGGTTCTTTAAGAGGCGGAGCGTCACAAATACAGCAAACTTCTTCCACTCCAGCAGCGACTGAGGCAAACACAGAAAGACAGAGAGAGGCAGGGGAGGGGAGGAAGTTAATGTGAAAGAGGAAGACAGAGAGAGAGAAAGAGAGAGCAGTCAACAGCATTAATTTATGTATATTGATTCACATCCTTGCCACCTCATTGATTTCAGTGTCTCCTGCACCCTTTTAGATTTCACTTCATTTGACGGGCGGATATTCAGCCTGGTCCTAACAAGCGTCCAACTTCCCCCTTTGCTTGATGTAAGGTGGAGTGGGGGTGCCATTTCCCTGGAGTCATTAGTCTAATAAATTCATAAATAGACTCTAATATACCAATTACATCTCAACGTGCCCCGATCAGAATACTCTGAGCACTCAGCATCATAACCTTGAACGTGATAATAATTTCGTCTCTGCTTTATTCTTGGATGACAATTCACAGATCCTGAGGAAAAAAGGTGCAAAAAAATTTAAAGTTTTAAGCTCACAAGGGGAAAGAATCAGAAAACTCATCCTTCAGCTCCTCGAGCAAAGTTTCAAAGTGGAGACAAACACCTTTTAGTTTGAGTTCAGCTGAGCATTTGTGGATTCAAAAACTCAAGCTATGAGCATTTTCTTAACCCAAGAAATACAAAGTGCTCAGGAAGCTATTTACTCTTCTAGCTGAGGGGAAAGAGAGAGAGAGAGAGAAAAAGGAGTTTTTCTTACATGAGTGGATGTCCTTTCTCAGTACCCAGAACTCCGAGTTGTCCTCAAATCTCACCAGACAACATTGCTTGACTCCGTCTACCTGAGAGGGAGATAGCAGGTGAGCAGAATGATTGACAAAACTAAATGGAAGTCTTTTCAAATCCAAGTGAACACATACACACACACACACACACACACACACACTCACAAGTCTCTTTCTGTCACACACACACTCCCACATGCACTTACTCTTTTCACATTGCCGAGGTACAGTAGTCCATCACTCCATCGAGCCAACACATCATCTCCTTCACTTACTCCCCCCATCCTGAGGAGAGAGACAGAGAGGGGAGTGAAGAGAGAGAGCAGGGCTCATGTGAAATGGAAATCCGATTTATTCGCTGAATACTTTGCTGCCATTGCTGACAGAGGGGTTTATGGCCCCGGCGTTTCGGCTGGCTCTCAGACAGGCGGGCTTCGGTGCAAAGGGGTTAAAATCCCCCCTACTCCCCCCCGCCACCCACCCTCCTCCTCCTTTTAGACCAGAGCATAACGACAGCCTGTATCCACCACAGTGAAAGATGAGAGTGAGTACACAACCAGAGAGCAAGACAAATGATTACTGCACACATGAAACCACACACACACACACACACACACACACACACACACACACACACACACTAAAACACTGCATGATGACTGCTGCAATACAGTTTGATTGAATGAGCAAAGATCACTGTGCAGCTTCTTGAAGCATCTGCCAGGCACTTTGCTGTTTTCTTCTTCTTCTCCCAACATCTTGAAAAACTTGAATAGATGCATGAAATGACTGTGCAGGCATTATCTCTGCACGTTGAGCATTTGTTCTAGTGCATGCACTCAAGTCAAGACAGACGCAGGAGACATAACAGTGTACGTAGCCTTTTGTGAATCAAAAAGGCAAATTGTACAGTAAAGCTTGCCGGTGAAGGGTACCTGTCAAGTCGAACTCCTTTCCGTCGGGGTCACAGTGATTCCTGGGCAGGCTGGACATGAAATGCTCTCATCTGCTGTGGATCTCCGCTGCCCAATTACTGCCTGCTCCGATGCGCAGCCTGCGTGTTTGCAAAAAGTGGATGATGTGCATGTATGTCCCTGTCTGTGCCAAGAGCCTGTGTGTGTCAGTCAAGCCGTCAGAGAGGAGGAGGAGGAGGAGGAGGAGGAGGTGGTGGTGAGGGGGGGAAGGCGACTGGCTGTCCGTCCGTCTCTCTGCTTAGTTTGTCCGTCCTCCGTTATGCCGTTTCGTCATGTCCCCGTCGCTTTTGCTCCCCTATCATCCCCCCCCACCCCCCTCCTCCTCTCCGCCACCACCTATTGATGCTATTAAGGCGGGTTTGTCAGAGCAGCACCGGAATCAAGCCGCCAGAGACGCCATCATCCCTGCCTCTCGCTCTCGACCGACTTGTTGTGACGCAGACATAAAACACCGAGATAGAGTGGGAGGGAGATACTGATAGAGGTGGATCCAGAGGTGGCGGAGCGGGGGTCCACGGCGAGAGCACCTTCCCGTCTGAGGGACTGACCCTAAACCGCTGTGACAAGGTGGGATTGTGATGTCTGGCGGGAGGAGGGAGGGAGGGAGGGTGGGATGGCGGTGCGCTAAAAGACAGCGGAAGCAGCGCGCTCAGCTACAGGGGCCAATTAAGTGGCCAATTAATGAGTTTAGCCGCCTCATTAATTGGTCTCAAACAAGAGGGACCAGCCGAGTTTAGGAAAACCCGTGGAGGAAACTTTTCAAACCCGAGAAAGCAGCGCCGAACACTTAAACTTGTCTTTATCTGTATTGATTATTAGTCTCTGCCTTACCAAACTTAACAGAATTTTGGTGGTGTGTTTGCTGAGGGGGGGGATTGGACATTACACCATCTCTTCTGAAAAATAAATCCTCTTTAGAATAACATATCACTGCGGGTGCTATACAAATTCCGCCTCCTAAACAAATTCATACATTTTCTTGCAACAAATTACACAATTAGAACATTTGGGAAATAACGTCTCCAATACTCTTTGCTGAAAATACTGGAAGCCAACTCCAAAGTGGACAAATAGCCTACCACATCTGCAGGACAGATGTGACATCCAGAGGGCCATCTCCTCTTACATCCGGGATGTAATTTAATGTGTGATGGAAACTATTGTTCACGCAAAGCAAGCATGGCTCTGATTACAGTCATACGTCTAAGAAAACAAACAATGCAGACTGTTTTTCTCAGTAAGACCCAGAAACAAACCCAAAAAAATGCACATTTGAATATGGATCAAATTACAGAAAACATGTTTGCTTCTTTTAAACAAAGACACACATGAGGCCAGATTTGTTTAAAGAGAGTCTCACACACGTTATTAAATTATAGCAATGCTTAATTAAACATAGATCATACTCACAGTTAAGTTGCTTTGGGGGGGGGGCGCTCTGGCTGCAACCACCCGTGCCCAATTCAAGGTGCTGTTTGTTTATTCTCCCATGTTTGTGTCTTTTCTTGTTTATTGATGTCTTACACATTACTCACACCAGTCAGCCGTGTGGTAACACCGCCGTGCGGATCAAAATGGCCCCTGGCAGATTAAAAAGTGTTAAAGTGCCAATTTCCAACTGTTCCCGCTAGGTGGCGAGCAAACACAAGGACTACAACTGCTGCAATCAGTCAGCCAGTCTGAGGTACGTTCAGGGTCATTAAGTTCAGTCTGAAGTAAAGGCCATTCTCTTGATTCTGATACAGGGGATGATGTGATTTTGCAAGATAAATAAATAATAAATAAATTCTCAAAATGTTGCGTTTTTCCCCCTCTTTATCCTGGACAGTTGTGTCTCCTCAGGAGTCTGATATGAAACAGAAATTCCCTCTTTGGTTGAACTTTCACAGCTCATGCAAATATAATGAAAGGTCAGAAGTAGAACAGGCATTAAAGTGTCCCAAGCAGAACAGGCTGGAAAGCAGTAAGATATCAACCTTGAAATTGTGTGATGAGATGTATGTCCATTATATCAGGTATATGTAGTCATGCATTGTGCCTTTGCATTGTTTCTGGTCATTTTCCATGTGTTCATCCTTGCAGCAGCTGAAGCAGGCAACAACAGCAACATGTCTAATGTTAGTTTGGCATCCTAGTAAAGACACCAATACCACAGTGTAAGCATACTCCATTACAAGTAAATGTCCTGCATGCAAAATGTACCTTACAAGTAAGCATTTATGCAGCATTTTAGTGTAACTGGTTAAGGTGGAGCTCATTTTAATTTATATACTGTTATTGGTGGAGCTCATTTTAATTTATATACTGTTATTGGTACATCTAATCTATAACAATGCATCATAGCCTATTTAATGATTATTATCTTTTTTTATGCATAAGATGCTTTTCTGCAAACTGACTAGTGATTACTGTACGGCTGTTAAATACATTTAAAGGAGTAAAAGTATAATATTTGCATGTAAAGTGTAGTGAATTTGGGGTGAAGAGGTTATAGCACTGTCATTGGCAACGGCGCCGGTGTATGCATGCCTGCAGGGGTGCGTGCGTGCGCGCGAGCCGGCTGTGCGGAAATGCGGTCGTGCGCGGGACGTCTCTCCGGTCCCTGAAGTGACATTTCCCCGGAGGAGCTGGGAAGCCGGTGTGTGTTGTACAGTATCCTCACACTGTGTGCCACCCAGAGACACGGAGCTGTTGCCTAAGCGCTGAGTGCACAACATACAGGAACTGCGACGCCCCAGAGAGAGAGAGAGAGAGAGGGGAGAGGGAGAGGGGAGGAGAGGAGAGGAGAGGAGAGGAGAGGGAGTTTACAGCTTGTCCAAAGTGCGCTATCAGCCGCTGAAGTCTGGACAGACGAGCGGTGTGGGGACACAGATATAGGGGGGAGAGAGAGAGAGAGAGAGAAGAAAGAGAGAGGGTGGAGGGGGCCGAGGCGGAGGACGGAGCTCCCTAGTCGTAGTCGTCGGTGACGGTGGTACAGATGGGTGCGACTCTCCTCAGCTGAGCCGGCCACCGATCCAGCAGCACCAGCGGTCACCCAATGCTGCCTGAATCCGGCTGAGCACAGTTGGATAGCCCGCATCCTGCGAATGACACCTGGCTATTAGTAAGTTGAATTACAGCTTCCCTCGTTTCTCTTCAACTATTTTGTTCATTTTATAGCCTATTTTTAAATTGCCAGGGCCTTCATGTCATTGAGTCACTCACAGTAGGAAGCAAATGTCATCATCTGTCACTCGAGCGTGTTGTAAGAGGAGTGTCAGCACGCACAAACTTTTACAGCCCTCATACTGTCAGGCTTTATTCTCATCATGCAGCCTACATTGTGACAGAAGCTGCCATTAGGACTGAACATAACTGTAGCACCACCCTATGGCTGCATTTTTTGTGCAGAAAAGGAGTATTATGGGGTGTGACTTAACTGTAACCTAGTTACAGCTGTATGTGTGTGTACACCTCAGTCATATGTGCTGTTTGCTTTGGTCAGAGTCAGTGAATGGCAGGCATTCAGACTTCTACATAGCCGTTGGTCAGAGCATAAACTGCACTGTTTATATGACTTGTTTTCCCTGCAGGCCTGCGTGTGTCTTTTCCTCTTGTGGAGACTGCAAACTGGTTTCTTAAGCAAGATTATAATGAGCAAAATTAGAAACCTACAGCAATGATAAATAAGAGAAAGTGAGCCTTGCACAAGTGCTACAACAATGCAGGAGTCCAACACAAAAGCACAATGGAAAGTTGGGAGTGCCAGCACATTTTTATATCACACTCGAGGCATTTTAGCTCCCGCTCTTTCTTATCCAGGGCTGTGAGAGTCGACAGGGGGTCTTCAGGGGATTGATTCTGTGGATTTTCAGATACAGCATTTAGACAGCCATTCTGCAGGTTGTGCTCACAGAGTCAAAAGAAACTGCAATGCACACATTATTTATCCACATGTAATGCACTGCACGCTCAAACAGCTGTTTCATTATTAGGTTCAGGCTTGCATCACTGTGTAAGAGTTCACATTTCCATAATAGTGCTTACACTGTATCAACCTCCGCATCTTTTTCCCTCCTACACCTCTCTTCCTGAAACACTGTTTACTAGATGTCTATCTACATGGCAATCCAAATACCAAGAAGGGGAAAGGGAAATGGAAGGAGGGGTTACTATGCAAATCCTGACCTGCTGTGGGGCACAGTGAATGTGTTAAACAAATTAACCACGAAATGGCCTCCAAGCTTACTGTAGTGTGTGCCTTTCTTTTAAAATGACTTGAATTTGCACTCAAAGGTTGCTGCACTGTTTTTGGAAGTCAAACGATGCCTGATACACTGTCTAATGATGATCTTCAGCAGGTTCGGAGTATTTACTTACAAACAGAGGCTCAAACACTGAAATTAATGTGGTTATACATTTATTGGAATATATTTCTGTTCTAATTAGACTGTAATGTGATCGCAGAGAGTTCAGTGTATCCATCTTTTATCTACCTACAATAAATGTCAAAGTTCAGAAATGTGCATTCAGGGCAGTTCAAAGTGCTTTACATGAGCCATAAACAGGCATTTAAGGATGGCATATTAACTTCTGATAAACTTTTGAATACAATGTTGCACAGAACGAGGACTTTTGTCCATTAGAAAGAGATCTTTTATTGGTCAGTATGAACAGGAGGAATGATTATAGCAGGCAAAACCAATGTTCATATGGGTATCTGGCTATTAAGTCTACTAAGAGAGACTTGAAAAATGTTAAACCTAGTTCTTAAGATGAGGTATAAAAGAAATACATATAAATAGCATTTAAGAATATGAAAATAAAATAGAAGATAAAAATACGCTATAACTGAATATTAGAAAATAAACAGGATAATAAAAAATACAGTGCAGTGTAGGGTATGAATTAGTAAAAAGTGTGAATGTAATAAAAGGCAGTGACAAACACAGAAGTTATAAGCCTCAATTTTAAAGAATTGAAAGCTGAAACAGACCCCAAGGTTTCTGGAACTTTGTTTCAGAAATGTGGTGCACAGAAACTGAGCTTTCCTATGTTTTGTTTTGGCTGTAAGAACAGAAGCGGACCTGTCCCAGACGATCTGAGAGGTCTAGTTGGTTCATATTGTCCAGCAGCGGATCAGAGATGTATTTTAGCCCTATATCAATCAGTGCCAATAGTAAGACAACGCTTTCCTGGTCTTAGTGAGGACTCTATACTACTTAACCTTTCTGGAGGGATTTATAAGGAGAATATTATATTGTGTTATTTTGAGCACTAATGAACATGTTATCACTTATTTAATCCTAACAACTCTCAAGATGTTTGCCTGAACGACTGCCAAAGAGACCGTGAAACACTTCTTTTCTTATGTTCATCCTGTCTGTGGCAGCTGGCACCATGCTGCCCCGTAACATGCGAACAGGTGGTTGTGACCTGCCTGGGGTGGAGTCGAGCGATGTGCCTCTCATTGGCTACCGGCCCTTACTGCCTGACAGCATCATCCCGAGCAACCAATCCAGGAGGGGGAGCGGCAGCGATGAACTGGACTCTTCACAGGTGAGGTTTTTTTTGTTTGACCCCATTAAAACACATCTATTATTTTGTCACTGGAGCACGTTACAGAGTGATATAAAGTTGTACTATATTTCTCACAGCTTTGAAATTCTGTGTGGTGTTATTTGAGTATTGACAGTCTCATACTAGCTACTTTATTAGTTTTTCTTCTGTTCGCACAATGAAGTGATATGACGGAGCTTCTAGGGGATTAGGGGAACTTTTTATTTGTCATGGCTCTTCTGGCCGACACAGCTAACAGCATTTAGAGCAATCCTCTGTGAAACTGTACAAGCTGCGTTGGACCATCGGTTCCTTGAATAAACAGCAGATGCAGTCGGCTGGTTTTCCGAAAACCCTTAGGGAATAAAGTCAGTGTGATACAGACAGAAAGGAAGATGAAGTTGGCATGTGTTTGTATTTACAGCTTTTCCACCAGGGCAACCCAAATGCTGTTAGTTTCCATAAAATGTATAAATTCAACCAGCTACATAGAGGACATTAAACCATTTTTTTTTTCAAAGGAATATTGGTACACAGACTGGAAACAGTGTGATAACACTGTAGTATTAAGTGTTTTAGTGATCGTGATTGCTTGTAATAACAGGATGCTTATAGAGAGCCAAAGTCAGGATGTCACATCCAGGTTTCCAGCTATCAGTTATACTTTACTACAAACCACTACCACTTGCTGTTAAGGCTGAATATTAGAGGGCTGTGAGATAATCCAAAAAGCACTCCGTATTTTACCTCACATTTGGTCTGAACACAACATTGGCCTTGTTTAAATTTAATAAGCTTTTTCCTGCACTTCTTTGCTTCTTGTTTTGGGAAAGCTCCTCAACTTTTGTGTGCCTTTTATAACTGGAATTACTCCAGGCTAACATTGGTAATATGGACAAAAGTTGAACTAAAATTGAGGAAGTTGAGAGGTTCGTGGCACAGGTCTCATTTCCCACGACCTTTAACCTCGGTTAATGTTTAGAGACTTGATAGGTGAGGTTCGTTGAGCCTTATCAGAAGCTTTTCAGATGGTTGCTGTGTTAACTTTACACATAGTTAGGGCATTATTTTGAGGTTTTCTTTTTGAGAACTGTGAGACTTCTTATCGCGAAGTATCATTCGTTTAGTTTTTGATATCCACAGACAGATGTGGGTGGTGAAAACCTCAAGAATAGCTATATTTTTTTTAATACATTTTTCCTGAGTCATGATGATCTATTGACCAACTTTCTTGCCCTCGTCACCCATGATCTGCATATGGCTCTTTGGTTTTACTTCACACCAGCCCTCAAGAAACTCCTCACAGCTAAAAAAAGAAGTTGCACTGACTCTCTTTCCGTATGAGCAGACTTCCTCCGTGCTCGTGTCACATAGCGGCTGCTCGACCTCGCAGTAAATAATGCATGTGGCGGTTCGGCCAGTCGATGTGGTGTACACCTGCTCTCCCTATAAACAGTATCCAGTATCACAGGCCGTCTCCAAGGACAGTCTGTCGAGTGAAATCCAATATGGCCACTTGCTCATTCTTTAATGAGGGAAACTTGAATGTGTGAGTCAGAATGCATGAAGTGGCAACCTCGAGTGAACAATGAAGCTTGTAGGTGAAAGAAACAAATAAGGTTTTCAAATTCAGTTTCATTAATTGAGATGAAAATCAAGCCTGAAACACAAAGCATGGTAATAGAAAATAGATACTATTTTTGAGCCTATTTTCTTGCTTGGTGGATGATAATTTGCCAAATGGTAACAAAAAAACAAATGCAGATACAAAAGATTAGACAGCTGAGATATAATAATTAATATATAAATATGAAGTCTGTTTTCAAACTAAAAATCTCCTCTCTAAACTCACTATTTATGGATATTCAACAATTACACAGCAAGAAATGTATCATAGAAAAGGCATGTTTCTGTACTGAATACAGCCTCAAGAGACCAGAATGCAGATAGAGCTACAAGATATTTTGAATAAGGGGCCGAGCTGTTATAAACTGGTAACTCAAATGGGGTCAGATTTCATGAGCAGAGTCAGTTGGAATGATTCACTGATGTGGCATTCGTAACTTTATAAGATAGGTCAGAACAGGCAATTTGTGACATGTTCTTAAAAAATGTTTTGATCCCATTGACTTTTTCCATTACTCTTTTCTCTATCCTTAACACATGACATAGAAATGCAAGCAGCAAATCATTCACCCTTTCCCAAAGAGAACAAGGCATTGTGTTGTGTACTTCACTTCCCATGACAAAACTATACCCTCGTGCGTTCCACTTACGGCACCAATAGATACACTAGCTGGCCAAAAGTATGTAGACACATACTTTTGTGTCCTTTTGATCTAAGGGTGTTTGCATCGCTTGGGCTGGGGCTATATTAAATTCAATTAAAAAAGGTCAGTCTTAACAGATACTTTTACTTTTTTAGACAAGAGTGTGCTTCCAACTTTCCCCATTTTGGTGTGGAAGAACATGACCGTCTTGCACAGAGCCCTGACCTCTGACACATTTGGGTTTAACTGGAACACCGACTGTGATCGTCAGGTTATGCTCGAAAAGAATTAGTAGCTTGTTGAGTTCACAGTTTGATTAGGTTTAGGAAAAAGTCGTACCTGACAAGTCAATACTGACTTTTGGTTTCACAGTACTTGAACAGTGGTCTCCTGGGTAAAAGTCCTGTGTTTGTTTGATGCATCTATCCACCCAATTTCATCTAAGCACAAACTTTGTCACTCTTAATACTACTGCTGGTACTGGACCTTTATACAAACATGTATTTTTCAAGGTGAGGCAAAGTGTGACACAGAATCTTCTAGTGGATTGACGGGTCTATTATACGCTTTGGCGTGAGACTGGGCTGTTGGTTTGTAACGCAAAAGCATTTATAGTCGCCCCGAACGGTAGCACTCGAAGGTGGGGTGGAAATCCAGCCATCATAGAAAGCAGGGAGACGCAGTGTTGTTTAATGGAGCACATCCTCAGACAGTCTCTCCTGGAAGTCGTTTATAGTGTTGTACTTCATTATACGCACGAAATGTGACAGAAATATTTGTTTCAAGAATGAAAAAAGAGAGCTATTGAGAGAATTGCAAACCCTGACTCCTTTTTCACCTCTGCTTAGCTGGCCATCATGATGTGAAGTGGGCGTGAATGTCAAATTGTCGGTTTCGAAAAGTTACAGAATTTGCACAGCCCCCTCAATTGTGACAGCAGAAAGATGTGTGTGTGGAGGGGGGGGCAGTGCTTCAGCGGCACCTTGAGCCAGGTTTTATTGCCTAACATCAGTGACACTAATGTTCTTGTGGCTGAATGGAAGCAAGGCCTGCAGCCAGATTCACAAAATCTTGTGGAAAGCCTGAACCTGAAAGAGTGGAGATGGTTATAACAGCAAATTACTGCCCATGGTTTTGGAATAACATGTTTAACAATCACAAATGCATGTAATGTTCAGGTGTCCACATGCTTTTTGCCATATATTTTACCCCCATATGTTTAAACATTGCTTGGCTGGCTACCTAGTTACTGTATACACCCATAATCCACTTTTGACTGACAGGAACATGGTAATATCTGTTTTTCTGGAAATTTTTCTGGAAATCACTCACTAAAGTAGAATTTCCTTCTGTTTCTCTGAGTCTGAATTTGAATTAGACAGGTTAATGCAAGGTTTTCACACTGAAAAGTCAACTATTCCCTACAAACTAACATCACAGACTGATGATATCTACAGTAACGGAGTAATCGTATCCACAGGAGGATTTCTTCCCTTTAAAGCGAATAGAACAGCTTTGACTTAAATGCCACAGAGTTTTACTTGAAAGAGAGTAGATAACGGGCACCAAGGGATACATAGATGAAAGCGTGAGAAGAGGAGCAGAGAGAAAGATAGGAAGGAAGGGGTCGGGGTTGTGGGCCACTCAAAAAACAATGGTTATCTTTAAATAAAGCTTTAGAAGATGTATTTATGACCCCCTGTTCGGTGGAAAGACTTGGTTGTAAATAAGTGCGTCAGTGGTTGTGTGTATTTGTTCAAAGTCAAAGCTTTTTGGCACAGAGGAAGTCCAACTACTTGGATTTGTTTAAAGAAAAAGGTTGGAACTGGTTGTTTTTTGAGACTGAGGGGTGAAAATGGAGAGTTGACTTCCTGCCCGTTGCTTTTCTGGTGCCGTCCAATAGCTGACGTAGTTGTTCAGGAGGAGAGGTTAAAGCTGCCTGGATTTGCGATGGAAGGAGAGGGGAAGAAAAATAGCTTCGCAACACGACAGCACGTCCTGCTTCCTGTGTTTGTCTCCACTTATTATGTACTTCCTGCATGCAGCTGGGGGAGGGGGGGCTTTAAGAAAAAGGATGGCTGGAGGGCCCTTAGAGAACATCCCAATTTTTCATAAGAATATAAACAAAGTGTCATATATGGCACCAACAATAGTACATAAGGGAAAATCTGTATTTTACATTCCCAAATACCAGCTGCAGAGTCATTTTTGTAAACCAGAACCAACTCATGCCACCCACCACCGTGTCCCATCATGATGCTTATCCACCAGCCTTTGAAGCAGCTAAACTCCAAATTACACACACCTATTACTTTGAAAAGTTTCTCAGAAGAAAAGGCTGGTTTCTCTGACCCAGATTCAGCCTGGATTCAGGAAGCAAACCCAATTGACGCTCCACTGGATACACTTCTATCTCAAGTATCGCAATATACCAGCGCTGTCTGGAATAAGGAAACAGAGGAAAGGGCTAGATTTCTTTGTGTCTGTGATAAAGGCCCACAGGCTCACTATGCTAAGGCCAGACAAGTGACTAGCATAAGAATTCTAAATCACTTTTATTCTTTTATAAGCAGTAAGACTTTGCCCTGGTGGGGACATTTTACTATCACATAAATAAACAAGCTAAGACTGAGATTGTAATTTAGTATATTTGTTTTATCAGCACATCTATAATATTTCATGAACCAAGGTGTAAAGTGTAAAATGTAAATTGTGGATTGTATCAGTGGGTTTCAATATTTACACCTCAAGACTCAAAATAAATAAAGCTTTTACACATTGTGTCTAGCAGGGCCTAATGATAGGTGATGCAAGGCTTTCAGTCAGAGTAAATACAGTTTACTTTGTGTGTGGTCTGGCTTTTTAGGATGACTAATGCTCATTAGCATCATTATGACACCATTAACAGCTCCAGTCCTAGAGTAGTTTGAGTAACATTTTGCAATTAACATGTTTTTTTGCAAACTTTCAGTTTTTTTCTGTAAGCACATTCCTTGTAGTTTCAAGTCTGAGGACCTGACTTAAGGATGAAATTGTATTCTCTGTATACTTAAAGGATCCAATGTGTCATATTTAGGAAGATGTATTGGCAGAAATGGAATATAATATTCACAGATATGTATTCATTAGTGTAAAAACACCTGAAATAAGAATTGTAGAAGATAGCATTTTTGCATCTTTTAGCTCATTGTTTTGGTTTCACGGCCCACAACTTTATTGTTTTAGATGTTTCACCTTTTACCTTCAACCTCATCTCCAGCTGCACCAGGCAGGACTGAGAGTAGCAATAAATGCTAATGCCAAGCTAATGGTGCTCTGTGTCTGCTGTTATAGAAATAGGCAACTGCTAGATAAAACATTAACCATAACAACTTCATAAAGAGATATGATAAATATTGTATTTGCAGCCTGTTCCACTGCCCCAGTGGCCAAAAAGAAATCAATAAATACTCCTTTAATCACTGACCTTACAGTGTGGGCTGTGTGTTAGCTGACAGACTAATAAGCGAACTGCCCTCACACACACACACAACTGTGAAAGTCTCCACCTAGTTAACATGGCTTCACTCTGCGATGTCATTAGCCCCTTAAATAAACACAGCTTGCTTCCTGGTTTAGTGGCTGTCTGAACATTTATTACCTCTCTTTACGAGACTGCAGGCTTCTTACTGCTCAAACAGCATGGCAGGCCAGGTAAAATACAGTATGAAGGCTGTCCAACTTCTACCTGTTATTAGATATTATGATTGTTGTTTTGCTTTGGGTTGTATTAAACAGGATACTCAGTTAAACTGGTTTATCTGCATGGGAAGGTCATATACAAAGACAAAGAGAGCAGGAGAGGAGAGACTGAAAGAGGGGGTATTGTTCTGGAAATAGCTTCAGGGCTGTGTCTCTCAGTGTGAGTGTGTTTGTGTGTGTGTGTGTGTATATGTATGCAGGCAAGTGCCCATTGATGAGGGTTGGATTTGTGTAAGCAGTGTGTCTGTGTGTGATTTTCTTTTTCAAGCGCACACTGTATGTTTGTCTATGGGTAACTAAAAAAAACTGACTCACTCAAAATGAGTGTTGTGCTATCAGCTTTAACATATGCCTATCCCTGTGTTTGTACTGAGTGTGTGTGTGTGTGTGTGTGTGTGTAATGGGTGTGTCCAGGTGATGCAGGCTTACGGGGCCGGACTTAGCTCCTGCTTCAGGTGTGTCTTTGTGATACATAGCCACAAGACGTAGAGAGGCAAACAAGAAAGACGTAAACACACAGATCTCGGTTGACTGACGGTGAAATAAGAGCTGATCAAGAGTAGAGAGAGAGAGAGACTAAAGAGAGAGCGACAGATGAAAGAAAATGGAGAAAATGAAAATGCTATTAGTACCTTTATCCTGAAGATTTCCAGGAAGCTTAGGGATCGCTACCTGTCTGGACTTGCTGAAGACAAGGTAATTTGTGTGACCATTTTCTTCCTTTTTTCGTGTGTGTATGTGAGCTTGGACTGGTTTCATGGGAAAGATAAGAATCACAGACAGATCTCTCTTAAAGCAAGAGGAGATAGCACGTAGAATAACAGGTTCAAATACACACACTATGTAATTCAGTGCTGTAGGATCCTTTTTAAATGCAAGGAGTGCCTGCTTGCAGTGTTGACCTTCGGCCAAGTCCAGTCAAGGTAATTTTGAAAGAGGCTAACAGAGGCTACCATATGTGTATTACGACTAATTACACCATAGGTTAAACAGGGGGAATAACAGGACTCATCAGGCACTTCTCCTGTCTGTATGAATATGTTTCTTGAGTCATATGTGGTCTAGGCATTTGCATATGAGAAAGCTAACAAGTCATTAAGTGCAAAATGAATTCAAATGTAAAACATGTCATTAGTTTATCTTTTTTCGGACGCTATTAACAGTCAAAAGGGCTTAAAAGATGTTGTGTTTTTGGTGTATTTGTTCTGATTGTGTTTCCAAGGTGTTGCTCATGTTTTTTTTAGATACAAACTCTTGACTCACAGCAAGTACAAACGTCTAAAATGGTCTAGGGATTTCGCCAGACAAGCAGGATGACTTCACACAGTGTTTTGCTCATGCATTTTTTATCATGGAAAGTCACAGTTGCGAAACTATCAGTGTCAAGAGCCATGTAAAGTTATATTGATCAGTATAGTACTTAAATGCTCAAACTGGGGTCTAGATGTAAATAAAGGGCAGGCCCCACCCACCACCAACAATTCACAACACAAGATTGTCACTCTCAAATTGGTTGATAAAATCCTTTACTCTGAGTAACTAACATTAGACAGCAACTAACTAAGTTATTCATGTTTTTTTTTAATGCTGTCAGAGATTTGTTTACATCAGTAAACCATGCTTATATAAGTGAAACTCTTTAACTGTACAGGTATAGATGTGAGTATGCCTAAAAAACAAGTAAACATGTGAACAGTGGTGGAAAGGGTCTCAGATCCTTAACGTTTTAGGGGGCTTTGTAGGCCTTTATTTGGATAATGGTAGCTTGAAGATAGACAGGAAACTTGGGAGAGCAACTAAGGTAACTTAGTTCAGTGGTTCCTAACCTAGGGTTTAGACCCCTAAAAAAAGAGTCACAAGATAAATCTGAGGGGTTGTGAGATGATTAATGGGGTAGAATAGAAGTAAAAACACAAATTTCTGCTACACACATCTTTGCTTTTTGTGAAATATTGCATAACTTTACCTTTTTGGCTCTCAAGCGATGTAAAATCTCAGTCTGTAAAATAACTAGTAACTACAGCTGTCTGATGTCTGTGTGACGTTTTATAGAATGGAAATAATCTGTGTTATTACTTACTTTTCACCACTGCTCTTTACACGCATTAAATGCATACAATACACATTAAAAAATATGTGTAGCTTATAATGTTAGCAAACATGACTTGGGCTGTGGAATTATGCTATTTTAGAGCCATGTGTGCGCTTATTGATAAGACTGAGCACTAATGCTGCCAAGACAAATTCTTACACATTGATTGTACTTGGTCATAGGCAGTTTAAGTGGTTTTAAGGCTGCATGAAGGCTTCATTTTCATCTATTTTTCTTCTTGCACACGATAAAAGAAAAAGTTATCTTTCTGGACTTTCAGGGCCCCGTATTACGCAGCTGAATTGTTCATCTTGAATAACATTAGCGATGCATGTCAGCCAAATTCAAGTTCAAGGCAAAGATGTACGGAAACAGAGCCGCAAGATTTTTAAATAGAGTTGCGAGATTGCCTGTGGGACACAAAAATAAAACTATCTTCACTTTTCAAATTTGTTAATGTCTTTGCTGATTTCTGTTAAGAAGTTTTCTCAGATTTCATTTTTCATGTTTGCTTCCATATGGAGGTCACACAGACTAAAGATACTGACACTGACTGCCTCAGAATAATACTGCTGATTTACTCATGTGGTATAATGCCCTTTTCTAATAAGACAAACAAGCAATTTTTGTCTTAACGCCTGTTTTGTTTGCTGCTCTTCTTCAGGCAGACCCCTCACCAATGAAGACTACGTGGTACTGTCCTTTGGATCTGGTAAGGCCAGCTGTGTTAAACATTGTAACATGCAGGGGATAATGTGCCTGTGAGTCAGTACCAGTATAAAATAGGGTAACTGTGTCAGGGACTTTCCCTGAGGCTAAAACTGGATCGTTACAGCTCCATGTAGCTGTGAGAAATGAGTTCAAACTTGATTTTAAGCCTTTTTTTACACATACATGGATATTGGGTTTCTCTAGTAGAACAGTATATCTCAGAATATTTTAATGAGGCTGTCTAATGATGTAAGTCTGTTTAGTTCAGTAAAAGGATAAGGTTAAATTTAGTACTTGGAATCAGCAGTAATCACCTTTCTTTTGACCAAATTCTTGGCTCACAGATTGAAACAGATTATTCCTCCCAGTGTCAAGTATCTTTTAAAGAATCTGAAGTTCATACTGATTTTCATGCATTCTTCAACACTTGAAATTTGTCTTAATCTGATTTCTGTGCTCTAAAGTCCACTGTGGTGGAGGAGGAGGAGGATGGAGTGATCTACACAGTGGTGGTCAAACAGCAGCATAGTGCCCCCAACAGTCCGATGGTAAGTCGTGTCTGACTGACTGGACACAGTGCTTGAGATGAGTGAAAAGGCCTCCTGTTTCCAGTAACATTAACTCTCTCTTTTCCTTCCTGTCTTCTTCCAGTCAGCGATTTCCCGCTCACAGTGCCTGAAAGCAGGGACAGAAGAGAAGCTGGTGCTCCACCTCCTCCACTCATTTTCTTTGGGCGACTCCTCCTTCATTACCATCTTCCTCTCTACCTATCGATCCTTCACCACCACGAAGAGAGTGCTGGACATCCTCACTGACAGGTAGGAGAGGTTTATCTGATCAGTGCAATTATATTTGTAGTTTTTGTCTGGTATTTTCCAGACAGGGTTTTTTTAAGACAGAAAAAAACAGAAGTTTAAAAACTGGTATGATAGCAGCTCCAGCGGCAATGATGCACAGCAACCACAGCAGCTGTCAGTATCCTGTCTGGCTGGGTTTGTGCTGTGTGAAGCGTTGAAATCTCAGACTGATCCTATCCTGTGAGAGCTTGGGTGGAGGAAGACAAAAAGCCAGCCATGCTAGCAGCTCTGTGACAATTAACTGCTAACATGCTTTTGTTTAGCAGGTATAATGTTTAACATGTTCATCCTTTATGGTTTAGTGTGTTAGTATGCTAACACATTAGCATTAGTACAGCTGAGGATGATGGGAATGTCATTAGTTCTGAAGGTATTTGGACAAAGTCAAATTTTGACCTGATGATGGTGCTGGATGAAAAGTAAGGTGGATCACTAGACTGATTGCAATTCATCCTGAGGGGAACATAAATGTCTGAACACATTTTGATGGCAATCCATTAAACATGACATGAATGACATTTTACTCAACACCACAAATGTCAACCTCATGGCAGCACTAGAGAAAAGTTAGTAGGATTCATTGAACTGTTAATGCCTGTACAAAATGTTGTGCCGATCCATTTTGTAGACGTTGAGATATTTCACTAGATGTAAAAAAAACTTGAAAATTCAGATGGCACTAAATGAAAAGTGTGCACAAGGGAACACTGTGCATATCTGTACCAAATGTCATCCAGTAGTAATGGAGCCACACTGCTTGTGTACTAAATACTAAAGTGCAATTAAATGGTTACATTAGAGTCAGCAAAACTGGTTAATCAATTTACTGTACACCTAATTTTCATTTTCACAAGATAAACAGGTGTTAGTTTTGCTTTTGCCATTTGTCTTCAAGCTAGTGTAATTTAAACAGAAGTTTCTAGATTAATTACATAGCTTAATTTAGAGACACTTGCATAATACAGGAAGCACCTGTGTGCCTATTTTTGAATAACTGCAGCATAATTCAGCAAAAATACTTGCTTGTGCAGGTTCTTAGTTCTGTTATAAAGTCTCTATTAAATAATGGAGGCATTTATATCAAACACCTGTTTGGAAAGTTCCTCCAAAGAAGCAACACTAAGGAGAGTGAGTTTAGACTCCTGGCAACATGCTCAGTTTACACGTAAACATTAGGAAAACAGTTTTGCTAAAAAGCATCTTGAGAAAAACCAGGCCATAAATAAAAAGCTCAAGTATTTTTATGACACAGTAGATGCACACAGTTGAAGCTGAATGATACTGATGTTTCTGGTTTTTTTCTGCTCCGCTAACAGATTGGAGCACCCGCCTGGGGACGGCGAGAGGAGCCAGACGAGACAATCTTTCAACAAGTGAGTTTTTTGAAAATGGCACCCAATATTTCAGCAGAACTTAGTGTGACATGTGATGTGGTTGTGTGTGTGTGTGTGTGTGTGTGTGTGTGTGTGTGTGTGTGTGTGTGTGTGTACTGAAATATATGTGTGTAGCTGTGGGGAATAGCTACATCTTCTAAAACAAGGTCATTAAACAAGTGAACCTCAACAGAAAACACTGTACTAAGCTTTAACTACTGTTCAGATTTTAAATGTAGACTGTGGAATTTTTGTCCACCTGACAAATTGTTAGTATAATGTGACGACCTGCTTCTTGTTCAAGAAATATGAAGATGTCAGCTATCGTTTCCTGCACTTCGCTGTTGGCCAGGATTTTTTATGACTCATTGCAAACAGGCTAACATTCAACCTCTGTTCAAATAAAACAATCTTGTTCTTTTTCTTATAGACTCATCTCTAAGCTGCTTTTCTTGTCTAAATCCCTCAAGATCGTGATTTCTTAGCAACTTTTTAGATGTGTTTGAAAATATCAATATATTCAATCAATTCCAATCTGCAGCTTGTTTATCTGCTTACGGCAACCTGCATCGGCTCAGGGTTTATACCAGAAACAGATGCCCCAGATGCTAAGTCCCACAGTCTCACACTTACCTTCACTGGATCCGATGAAAATCTCATGATTGATTTGCAAATTATTCTTCTACAAGGCATAAGTTGGTTTCTGATGCCCTGATGTACCTACATAGCACTACAAAGAAATCTTTTCTTCTCAGAACTATCTGGCACTCAAGCCTAAAAAACGATTATCATGTTTCTGATGTTGTGACCCATAAAGTTTAGATCAACATCGCCCAAAGCCCTTTAATGCTGAATCAGTATGAACATCAGGGAGGAAAATTAATTTATCTCTTTACCATTTGTCCTCCTTTTTGCAGAGCGGTGTGTACAGTGTTCAGCACGTGGCTCTCTGAGTATCCCGAAGATTTTAATAGTTTGGGGGAGCCCTCTCGCCTGCTGCGCCTAGCTCCGCTCCTCCCCCAGGACTCCTCATCTGCAGCTGACCTCCGCGCTCGCCTCCTCAGGATAGCCGAGGAGCTCAGCGAGAAAGCCCTGCTCCCTGACGCCCACAAAGGTCTGTATTTTAACTGGGATTTAAATGACACAGTTAAGGCCTTGCCAGATGAGGTTTTCATGTAGAAGTAAACTCGTCTTCTTAGTATAAATCACAAACTGGGGCTGCAAAAGACGGAAAAATATAACACGGTTGTGGCTTCCTTTATTAGAGAAATGGAACAAAACTCCTTTAGAATGCTATTTTTCAGAACAGTTTTCTTCTGTACCCGGGAGCACGTGGAAGGTTGTTTAAAATCCTTGAAAATTTAATCATTTTACTGAAATAGTCTGGACACTACAGCTTCTCTGTTATTAAAGCCAAAGGCGGTCATGGTTGAAATAAATTTTGCTTGTTGCTTTGTGGATGAAAATGTAGGTCTGTCTGTCCTTCGGCCCACCACTTTAGTACAGAATGAAATATCTCAACAACTATTAAATGGATTGGTACAGACATTTAAGTCCCCCTCAGGGTGAATTCTAATAACATTGGTGATCAATGCTGTAGTGCAGGACATACAGAGTATACCTACTTATTTTTCAGTTAAGTATATCCACTAAATCCCCTCTGATGAGCGTCACTCAGTAGCGTTCTGTGAGATTTTTTCCCCAGGATGGCGAAGGCATGACATAGTTGTCCAGCTTTCGTGAGTGGATGGAGTTAGGAATAAAGAATACTTCATTAAAAAATGCATATTTATGTAGTTATCTCACCCGCCTCACCCGTGGGCCAGTACTGATTTCAAAGTCTGCACCTCTTCTGTGGTTAATGTTGATTTCATAATGATCCTTACTCCCTGATGTCAAACAGCAGAACTAAACTAAACTGAGATGGTTAAAATAGTAAACATTACACCTGCTAAACATCAGCATGTTAGCGCTGTCACTGCTTGTTACCATAGTAGCATTAGCATTTAGCTCAAAGCACCACTGTGTCTTAGTACAGCTTCAGATCCACTAGCATTGACTCCAAACTTGTTTTGTCACATCCCCTAATCTTGAGGTCGTGAGTGAAATATCTCGTTATCTGTATTATATTTAGATTTATTTCCTCATTCGAAATTTTCTGAGATAACTAGACCACCATTCCTGGAACAAAACAGCTCTATTACACTGGACACAGTGAAGTGAAGAATCAGAGCAACAGATCTGAGACAAACCGATTGCTGCGACGAAAGGATAGAAAATATATAACGGCTCTACAAACAAAGGTGTGTTTTATTGAACAGCTTTACCCTTTGCAGATCAAACTGGTTTCACCAGCCCTCCTCCTGACGCCTCCAAGTTTGAACCCACCAGCATACTGGGATTCCCTGCGGCACTCATCGCTGAGCAGCTCACCAAGATAGAGACAGTGAGTTCTCTTTTAAGCCTGAACATGTTTTTGATAGTGGCATAAAGCAAAACATTGAGTAATGATTGAATATAATACAGTTATCAGACTGTGATTTGGTTTACAGAATATATTTGTATGCTTGCATTGCATGGTTTAATTGGTTATTTTTAAGAAAAAGGCTGTTATTTATGGATCTATATGCTGTCACTTATCAGGAGCTGTTTGTCCGTTTGGTCCCGTACCACTGCCTCGGTTCGCTGTGGTCCCAGAGGGATAAGAAAGGGAGGGAAGGCGTTTGTTGGTCGGTCCGGGCCACCATACGTCAGTTCAACAAGTTGGCCAATTCAGTTCTAGCATCCTGCCTGTGGCCGACAAAGCTGCGCACCCAACAGAGAGCTCGACTGCTGGAGAAATGGATCAGCGTGGCAGAGGTCAGTATACAAAAATCAAAGGTCACTGCTCTAAAACAAGCAGGATTGTGTGCCATTTCTTTAAGCTAGAACTGAAAAAACAGTACGTCAGTTGGGGTTTCAAATCTTCCAAAACCCTCAACTGTGCATTTTCCTACAGTAAACCCCCATTAATCCCCTAACTATAATCCTATTCTGAGCTCTGACTATGCACATACCATCACAAATTCACAGTCTGCTTGGTTTTTGCTGTGACTGTACTCATAATTTCCCTTTAATCAATAGCTGAGAGCTAAACGCAGTAATGAGGTCTTGATTTACGATTCTTTTTCTGGACAGAGCAGCAGCAAATATTGTGCTTCCTCTATTTGACGGCGTTTTCTGGCCAACCACTTTTGAAGAGATTGTTAAGCATATTTTTACACTGAAAGTAGACTTAAAGTTCCAGTACACCTTTAGGAAATGGAATAGGAAATGTACTCTGCATGAACAGTGCATACCAGTAATGTGCTGATTCAAAAAAAAATTGATGTACAACCTCAAGGCAAACAGCAAAGGCTTGAATCTACTTAACATTTTTCGCTATTATACAAGAGAAATGTAGATTAACTGGGTTATGTAACAGCATTATGGTTGTTATGAATCGGTTTCTTTTAAAATATTGACAAGCTCACAGCAACAACAGGATTAGCTCAAACACACAAACACAAACACACATAAACAGATCCTGTCCTTGGTTGTTATGGTCACGCAGTTTCATTCCTTTCCCAGCCTCTTTATCTGTGAATAAAACACACATTCTCTCCAGTATTGCTGTAGAAAGCTGCATTTGTCATCACAAACGCACACTCACACACACACACACACACACACACACACACACACACACACACACACACACATACACACACACATACACACACACACACTCTTTGGCAAAGTCAGGTATCACTGGTCTGCTGCCAAGCTGGCGTCCTGAGCTCATCCCAGGTTTCTTTTGGGACAAACCTCTTTAGCAGTATACATTATTCAGCGCCTCAGGCCGACACTGTAATTTAACACCAGCCAGATCCACACCCACAGGTGACAGTTACAGTGTGTGTGAGTATGTGTGTGTGTGTGCATGCAAATGAGGGTATTCATCTGTGTGTGTGCTTTCATCAGGAGTGCCGAGCCAGGAAGAACTTCTCCTCGCTGTATGCCATCGTGTCTGCCCTGCAGAGTAACCCCATCCACCGGCTGAGGAAGACGTGGCAGGACACTGACAGGTCTGAACAAGTTTTTAAAAAAGCATATAAAAAGTAATCAGGGCTTTATTGCCATATACACAGAGAACCATTTTCACTGAACAATGAAATTCCTAGTTTGCTGCAACATGACAATAAACATTAATATAAACACGCGGTTTTTATTGACCTCTGCTGGTGACCAAGGAAAAATATTGAAAGATCTTTAACTGTGTCATAACTTGTTTGAAGTAAAAATATGGTATTGTGCACGTTAGCACGTTAAATATGTATTCTTCAGCCACCCTACATAAGGTATTATTCTAATTGTAAATGTGAGGTGTGGTTAGGACCAGGAGGACAGTTTCTTAATAACTTCAAACAGCACTACAGGCAACTGTTGTTACCCTCGGGACACTTTATTTATTAAGCACCAAGGCAACCTTGTAAATAACTCTGTAGTCAACCTCGTAAATAAGCAGAAGTAAACTCTCTTTCCTTAATCTAGACATAAAAAATGCCACTTCAGCAGTGTTGTCCCCTCAACATAAACCCAAGCCATTTTCAGTCACGGCATCCTCTCTGAATCATAAATGAAGCAAGCAACAGACCTAAAACAAACAGGAAATTTCATGTGCATTTAGTGATCAAATAATACTTGTTTTTGTAAGTTTCCCTGTTTAGAAGAAAGTTTAGGGTGACCAAGATGAGGTTGTAACATTTTTTAAAAGCACTTTCAAAAGACATTCTTTACTCAATTTTCCCATCGGTCGCTGTCTCTCAAACCTCAGTATCCAATGATAGTTTGCAAACTCTTCAAATCTGGCGCGTACTAAATATCTTCAGTACAGTAAATATCAATGATCTTTTACTGTAAACTCACTGTTTGGGTCACTTGACAGGGAAGCAGTGAGGAGATACGAGGAGCTGTCAGAAATATTCTCAGATAAGGACAACTACTCACAAAGCAGAGAACTCCTGAAGGAGGTAAGTGTCTGTCAAACTACAGAATGACAATGGAAATGTGAAAAAAACTGTATATTTTGTGGTAAAAACAGGAAGTCATGCTAAGATCATTCACATTATACAGAGCAGGTTCAGTGAGAAATTTGATCTTTTATTTATGGCAAGCTAGGTTCTACTACTGACACTGCAGTAAACCTGTTTTGTGCAGTATAAAGTGAAAGGTTTGAGTCTGAATGACGTAATTTTATGATATCTTGTCATTTGATCACTTGTGTGTGGTTAATGATAAAACTAACTGGTTGTTTAGAGGCTGAAGGAGCAGTTCCTTGTGCTGGAAAGCTGCCAGTTTGAACTCTCGCTCAGGGTTGCAGTGTTTGAGTGCAGTTTTGTTTCTGGATTCAGATTTCAGCAGCTTTTTTCTGATGTGTTGGACTCGTTTCAGGCCTATTTTTACTCGGATCTGTGTTGTTCTTGACTGTTGTTGGATGCTTTTACCGCTTATGTTTTTTACCGCCTCGCTAAAAAAATCTTCAAAGATGCTTTTCTCTCTAACTTTCTCTCTGTCACTACAAACACTTTGAGTTAACACCTGTGTGTACCAGATGTAACAGTGCACTGGGGAGGCATAAACTTCTGAAGCATTTGTGTTACACTCAGAAAGAAAGGCACTGCAGGTCTTGGTTTGGACTTAATTACCTCTGCTTGACTCAATGTCAACACTGTTTGAGACCTGATTTTTAGAAATAACTGTTTAAAGACCCAGTGTGTAACATTTAAGAGGATCTAGTAGCAGAATTGGAATATAAGAGGTGTGTTTTCATCACATGAAAACAAAAATCATGTTTTCATGATTTTATGATGAGCTGGTTTTTCTATGGAAGGAGTGGGGTCTGAAACCTAAAAGCTAATGTTCTAAATACTACAGCATGTTAACCATTGTTAACTGCACTGGCGTGCTAATGTTTGCTATTTAGCATAAGGTACAGCTGAGGTGGATGTGTGTCATTAGTTTTGCAGATAGTCTGTTATTAATTAAAAAGTTGAAATTCAAATTTGTGATTCTGGGTATTGTGGTAGTGACGAGCGAGATACGCAACTAGAAACATGGGTATTATAAAATAAATAAAACAAAAGCCACAGTGAAATGGATTTAAGTTTTGTTACTGCAAAAACAGAAGCAAGTAGTCTATTATTCCCTGGACCATCTCGACTACAGTCGGGAAGCATTGACCAGGAAGGTCGGAGACAGCAACACTTGATGACAACCCTCGATGAAAAGTCAGAAGATCTCCAAAGTTGTTAATTCATCCTGTGGGAAACATGTTTGTACCAAATTGACAATTCATCCAAATGATTTTGAGACATTTAACTCAAAACCACAATAGTCAACCTTGTGGTGGCACTAGAGGAAAAGGCAGGCCACCGAATCACCTAAATCCATCAATAGTTGTCGAGATATTTCAGTCTGGGTTGACCAACATTGCTACCTCTAGAACCACACAGCTATCATGGATAAAAACAACATAGTTTACATGCTGACTGCAAGCATACAGTGATATGTGTTAAGCCTCTAACTGCAGCTTTGAAAAACCATGTGACACTTCTGCACTTTGACTGATATCGCACATCCTGGTGACGAGCATCCCATGCTTGAACAGCAATATGAGAGTTAATAAACGTGTCTGTCAAGTGCCACTACTGGACCACATTTGTTAAATAGCACAGACTGAAGTCGAGCCTTATCCTCAGCTGAAAACAACATTCAGTGGTAGAGATTTATGACTCCTTTAAAGACCAGAAACCAGTCTCATCTGGTTGAGTAGAACTGCCCTTATTCTGTCAACACTTTCACTTCAGTGTGAGACACCCATCTAAAGACGTACATTATATTTAGTTTGCACTGTGTCAGAGAGTTAGGGAAGTTGGCAGGATTAGCTGTGTTTTGATTTGCTGTTATGGTGCAGTGCAGGCATCAATACTTTTGCATTAGCTGCGATTTTACCCATGATACCCCCAAAGGAATTCATCCAAACATTTGCTTTCATTTTGAAAGCTTCACTTCGAGCTTTGATTCCAGAAAAACACCATCATTTTCTGTTGCCCTTTGATTTTTTTTTTTCAGCACAGTTGCTTCCCTTCATCTCTCAGCTTGTCTAAAAATGACTACGACTCGCAGACAGAGTGTAAGATGAATGATTCAGACTAATAAAAGTTTGGAGAAATTATTCACAACACTGTCACTGAAGCATTTAACAGTGTAACAAAACACTTTATCATATATCATGATGATTAACAGGCTATGTCTTCCTGGCTAATGTCAAGCTGTCATGATAGATCTCTAGCCTGAGTAGTGTCAACTTTGCTTTGTTATAAACATTTATGAAAATGAATTAATGTTCATGTCAGTTGTCGTGGCAGTATTAGGTTTATATCTAAATGAATGTACATTTATGGTACTTTTTTATGATTTATAATGGTATATTTTTATCACCCCTGAATATTATTATAAAATAAAATCTAGAATCAAGCATTGGAAATTAGCTTAGGCTATAAATGTCACACATTCATGAGGGAATATTCCAAGTAAAAAAATAAATAATAATAACTTGCATTGAATGTAAAGATTAAAGATTATTAACCAGAGTGTCTTTCAGCTCATTGTTTTGGTTTTATGGTGCACAGTTTCACTGTTTAGATTCACTCTCACCGCTCAGTGCCATTTTCAGCCACAACAGGCAGGAATAAACCTCCTGTACTCTACAAACCCAGCACCAAACGACAGACAAACACAATTAGCAGCTAGCTGGTCAAGAGACAGATATTTCCCGTGGGAGTTGGTGTAAACCAGATCAAATCTCTAAATGAGAATAAATACTGGAATTAAATTCATCAGGTGGCCACAAACATGACTTCAAATGAATCCTGAATGTTGAATGTGGCTCCATATCTGCCGGTTTGCTAGCGCGTTACTCGTATAAACTAAAAAGTAATTTGTGCTCACAGCTTATTGCAGCTTTAAAACCAGTAAATGAACTTTGAACCTGAAAATGTCCTTTCTTTTGTCTTGCAGGAGGGCACCTCAAAGTTTGCCAACCTTGACAACAGACTCAACAACAAACATCTTAACAGGGTAAGTAGATTGGAAATAAAGACTCGGATGAAAGCACTCAGGTGTAAATGGCTGACATTGTGTGAATACGTCTCTTGTTCACACGCACAGTTTAACATTTGTAAATTATTCTCTCTGGGGTGTCAAATCATTTGGGGTCACCAAGACATTTCAGATAGTTACTTAAAATGACCTCAATATTTGTCACTGAGGCAAAACTTCAGATCTTCAAGCACATAAAAAAAGAGCAATTTTCACTATCTTTATAGCCCGCTTCTGGTGTGCATACCAATCATTTTAGCCTGAGGGGTTGTACACCCCCAGAAGCCTTTATGGGAGACCTTGGAAAATGTAGGAATGATGTAAGACCCTGCAAAAGTTTCATTAGTATTGTAAAAGTTAAGGGACAAATTTATCTGTGATTAAACTTGCATTCAGAGCTTATAATTCTTATCTTATTGTATATACAGTGTATGGTTAGGGTCACAAGCATGTGAGTAGAATCAAGTTTTATATCGTTATGGTTTTGCTGAGAGCTTAATAATGGATTTCAAACTTAAAGTACTTGAAAATACTGATTTCCTACAAAAGGCTACATTCAAACATTAACACTGATGTCACTTTTGCTAAGCGGGGGGTGGGGGGTGATTCAGTGCTTTGATGGAGGGTTGTAAGGGGGATCGACCAGCATGCAGCAGCAACAGTGGAGCAGAGGGGCTGTCAGTTGTGTGTGTGTGTGTGTGTGTGTGTGTGTGTGTGTGTGTGTGTGTGTGTGATGTGCTGAATCCTGATCATTTGACAAATAGCTGCAGGCGGCTGCTCTGAAATCCCTCGCTGTGTGGGCTCTTTACAATGTGAATAGAACCCTATGGGGAACGGATGAAACACTTTTTTTCTTTTTTTTTCACACAGTCCACCGCCCAGGGCACCGTGCCCTACCTGGGTATCTTCCTAACAGACCTCACCATGCTGGACACAGCAGTCAAAGACAGATTGGATGTAAGTTACTCTCATCTCTATCAAGGGGAAAGCTGGTCACAACCCCTGAAAGTTGCTCAGTATTTTACAATTATAAAACTGACATAACACATCCTGTCACTTCCTTTGCAGAATGGCTACATCAACTTTGACAAAAGGAGAAGGGTGAGTGTTGCAATATGGATCAGTGTGAGAGATAAAAGTTTAAATGTTATCTATTTTAACACTTAGAATAAGAGACATTGCATGTAGTGGATGCTGTCACACTGAGTGCTTTTAACAAGATCAGCAGTGGACTAAGCTTCTGATTCTGCAGCGCTCACATAACAAGCAAGGTGTGCATGAGTAAGAACTGTAGCACCCTGACAAAAAACCTGTTAGAGAGAAGAACTGAACAAAGTATATAAGCTTATTGAAAGAAGAGAGATACGTGGGATAAGAGCATATTAGAGCGAGCAGTGGTAGGGTAATATCTGAGGGAGGAAATGATTAAGAGGAGGGCGCTGTGAGGTGTAAGATGAGAGGAAAAAAAGAGCTGGCACAGTAATACTAGATCAGCCAACATGGGTGCTTTTTTTTAATTATGAAACTTTGTGGTGATATGCCTCTCTGTTAACAGGAATTTGAGGTTTTAGCTCAAATCCGGCTCCTGCAGTCTTCCTGCAAAAACTGTGTTTTCACCGCTGACGAGGCCTTCATGCAGTGGTATCAGAGTGTACCTACACTAAGAGAGGAGGAAAGGTAAATAAGCTTTGCTCAGTTACTGGTTAAACAAATGTCTTAAATGCATTCAATATGTTAAAGACACAAACTAAACCATATTTGTTGCTCTTAACTCTTTAATGAAGAATTATTTGTTTTGTTTTCGGTTGTCTATTTTAGCTATAGACTGTCCAATGAAATTGAAGCACCTGGTGAGCCAAGCCCCCGTGGCCTTACTCCAACAGTCATCATCACACAATGCTCAGAGTAAGCTATATCGAATGCTCTTACACATACACACACGTTCACAACACAGGCAATAATAAAATGTGAATTAGGATTTAATTTGGTCATAATGAGCAAATCGTCAGACTGTAAAAACCTCTGTGAGGAGCTTTCTAAAGTCTGAAAAGTATCTCTGATAAAAGAGAGCCCTGTGACAGATGTGGGCATTGACCAGGCAGGAAGAGTCTAATGAACGATATTATTAAGTTGCATTATGGCAATGTTCTTGACTATACAATGGAATAAGTCAGCATATCTCGATTTTGATCATTCCTTTTTTTAATGTATCTTACAAGTCCCCCAATTTTATGGAAATTCAGTACTAAATCGCTGTATCACCAACTTGAATCAGTGATGGCATGATTGGTCCTTTAGTCCATTACCTAGTCCACTTAAAAACTTAGCCGCAGCAAACAATTTTAATAATTAATTATTTCAAGACAAATTAATTGCTTAACAAAAAAAGCCAAACGTTTACTGATTCCAGCTTCTCAAATGTCAGTTTTTGCAGCTTTTCTGTGTTTTCACATCATTCTGAATTGAGTATTTTTGAATGTAAGCAAGTTAGTGTCACCTTGGTCTCTTTCTTGACTAAATGATTATGAATCCATGATAATAAAAAAAAACAATCATTAGTTTGAACCTTAATTTGAATGTCTTTATATATTTTCATGTGTTGACAGCCTGAGTACCTCCCGGACCAGCCTGGTTGGAGACAGTGACAGCCTCTTTGACTTTCCCTCCCCGGTCAATAATCTGCTGTCAAAACTCACAAAGGTATATCTTATACTTCTAGGCCAACTTTGCATTAATATCAGCTCCTTTCACAGACGCTGTATGCAGGAGTGAGTTATTTATTGTAGTAGTGATGGATAGTGACTCTTACTTTGATTAGATTAAACAATCACCTCCTTGATTATCATCAGAACCGTTGTTTTTATTTCTATCGCAGCACATGAGATCTCCGTCTGTGTCCTGTCTGGATGTTGACACGTCTCCTCCAACCAATGAGTCTACCCCGGCCACGTTGACTCCATCCACTCCCACAAAATCGCACCGCCGATCAGCCTCCTGTGGCAACAACCCCCCCAATAACATCCAAGGTTCGGGGGCTGACATGCGTATCATCAGGATACGAATGGACCTGCATGACGGCAACCTGTACCGAAGCATACTGGTACTAATTCAAACCATCTGAATATAATTTAAAGCAGCAGCTAGATTGTAGAAAATGCTCTGTCCCAAATTATCTGCGACAGGCTGCACTTACAGCCTTTCCCATAATGATAGTCATCAGAATCAGATCCTCAGGATACAATGGACCCAAGATATCATTAGTGCAACTCAAGATGTCCTAGTGTCATTGTTATTCTCCCCTCTCCCCTCAGGTTACTAGCAATGACAAGACCCCCACTGTGATCAGCTCTGCCTTAGAAAAGCACAATCAGGACCCAAAACAGGCGTCCAGATATGAGCTGATCCAACTTCTGCCTGAAGGAAAAGGTAAAGATGTGCTACCAGTGCAGTAAAAGGAAAAACTAATTCATTCTGCCCACAACACTGTTAATAGCAGCACTATTAGTACACAAAGTACACTGTATTTCTTGACCAGTGGTGTATTTTTGTTATCCAAATGGAGATAAATCTAATGTCATACTAGGAGAAAATCATCACAGGGTAATAAAACTTTACACATTTCGATGAAAGTTCCACAGTAAATCTAACCTCAGATGAGCAAATGGTTACTTTTTGGTGCAGATCCAGGGATCTTTATTATAATTTTGTACGATTTTTTAACATTTTACACAAACAGATTCGCTTACTTGAATAAAATCATATTATTGCATGAGCTCCAACAGTCAATAAGACGATTGAATGAAAATTAATCTGCAATCTTTTTTTATGCAAAAATGTCAATATTAATATTAATTATGTAATATATATTGCAGCTTATTAAAAAGTGATGACAAGATCCTTTTCTACATTTGTCTTTTTTATATCCTTGAATTTTTTGACAGATTATGTCTTTTCAAATATATATATGTATATATTTGAGCATTTTATATCTTTGTTAGTGACAGTAGAAAGAGAGAAGAGAGTGGGAACACCATGCAACAGAAGTCCCCGCTAGGACATGCTCTGGGGATGTTAATGTTCATGGTCGATGGCATTAACCTCTGGGCCACCATGGGTCCAATGTATGTCAGCTTTAGAGTACTGATGCCATCAGTCCAGCAACTTTGGAGAAGCTTTATTGAATTCTGTCTCTCTTCCTCTCTTAACACAGAACTGGTCATCCCTGCTACAGGAAATGTCTTCTACGCAATGACGTCATCTAGTGTTGACTTCCTGTTAAGAAGGAAAGGCGGAAACACTCCTTTGGGGTCACAGCCGATCAGCACAGAGACGAGCGCCACTTTTCCTCGAATCAAGGCCAAGGGAAGGAGACTGGTCAGGACTCTATTTTGACACCAGATTTTCCTCAACCCAACTTTTTCCACGCAGTTCTGACGTGAATGCAGTTTGAGCTCTTACAAACAGTAAATGTGGCCTTCTCTGTGCAAAACAAGAACATATGCCTTTCTCCCATGCTCCTACGAAGCTTGTTCTACCAAAACACCAAGACCAAATCCTTCTTGTGTTTTAATCAACAACAACATTGCAGGTTTTGTCGAACATTTCAGACCTCCAGCCGCCCTGCTGTGTGTAGAGTGCTGCTGAAGAACAGCGTCACTTTTCCTCTTTTTCCAAACAGTATGCATTACTAATTTATACCCTGAGGAAGAGCAATGACAGCCTTTAACTGAGTAATTTTGGTGCTGGCTCTTGAGTCCCTGTCAGGTAGCACTTGATGCATTTTCATTCTAACTCAATGAATAAGATCTGTTGTAATTGCCTGTAGTCGCCAGGAAATCCCTCGTGGTTGTGTGCCTCAGTGACGTTTCCAAATGTAAGATTGAATTGGTCAGAACTTTTTTGGGGGAAGAAGCGTAATGAAATCTAAATATTAAGAGCCTGTCAGATCTGGTTCTGGTAAACAGCACATGAGAAAGACCAAAAGATACAGTGCAAGTGCATCATTGTAGCAAAACACTGGAGACATATATGTTTTGTATATATTTATATATTTTGTATGTCTGTATGATGTCAACATTGTGTTTACACTGGCAAGGAGCTCTAGGTCCATGTGTCCGAACTGTCCAGTAAATAATTCATCAAGGAAAAATCCATCAATACCTGCAAAATTTCCACTTTAAAGACATTATTTTAGCTTTGACTCAAGCAGATATTCATTTTACATACACCTAAAAGCTGCATTAATCAATATTTTTATATTAACAATATAAATAATGAATTTAATCACTATTCATATTGTAAAAGTGGCTGCTTGTAGTGACTAACCTAAAAATAATGATCAACTCTGCAGTTCGATGGCTTTTTGGCCTAATTTGTTTGGGTTTCAGGGCCCATTCAGGGTTCATTCTCACAGCTGTTATCAACCCTATTTCCAGCAGCAGCAAAAAAAAAAAAAACAAACCCATTGTAGGCCTATGCTACCTGCCCAACAGAAACTAGCAGACACACTAAGTTAGCGACTTGCTGGTGAAAAATGTCAAACATCTAACCAATAAAAACCTAATATTTTTCTAAGAGACCAAACTAGACTCAAATGAGAGTCATATGCACTTATTTCATGAGATGGATGGAAATATAACTAAAGATAAATATTTCTTCCTCAGCTAGATGTGTATCTAGGCAGCTTTTCACCAGCAGGTTAGCTGTAACAACTTCATAAGGCATTAAAATGTCATACAGCTCAATTTTGATGTTCTTCTGATCCCTAGTAGCTAAAAATTGATTATTGCAGCTTTAAAAACACCTTGCAGCACTTTGAAAAAGCTTGTGGCTTTGCTTCAGTTTATCACTGTAGTACCAAAACCACTGAGGAAGACAGTTAGGAAAATTCAAACAATACACCACCATTTTTAGGTTTAAGGTTTTCCAGGTCTGAACTTTTCAACAGAGCATAAGCTACACTTAATTTATGCAGATTCTTAACGCAGCTCAGCAGGACGCACCTTCCCTGCTGTTTACCTGCAGTACAAAGCCTTAGCTCCAGTTTCATGTTATGAATTAACATGTCGACTTCGGTGTAGGTTTAAAACACACAACCTCTTTGAAAAAAAGTCTGGACTTCGAAAAAGTCTTGTGACCTCTGGTTGTACCCGCTCAGTGCTGGTGAGGCCTCCTGATTGGCTGAGGCACAATCACAGTGGGACCAGGGAGAGGATTCTTCAGATGATGTGTGCTGGCGTTTTTGCTATGTTACTGATTGTTTTAGTGCCTTTCTCTACAGGATGCTCATCTTTCCCATTTTTGCATTAGAATGTATACACAGAGGCAACGCAGTCATCTCCAGTGCTGTGAAGTCTCACATCAAAGCTATTTATGCACTACATACAGGATGTCCTATTTTTGTGGTAATAAATTTACTTTTATATGAATTTCATTGCTTTTGACTGATGTGCTGTAACACATTCCACGTTCAACACAGACAGATACTTTCCATGCTGCTGAGTATCCCGTAAAAATAATTAAAGCTGTCTCTATATGTCAAATACTGACATTTCCATTTTTCTCATGGATAAGGTAAAGCAAGGTGAATACACATCAGCAAAAAAACAAAATACACCTGTTTTAGTCTTTATTCAGATTCAAGATAGCCAGCATCTTTATTGTCAAGCAAAATCAAGGTCAGAATGAATGTATGTGAAATGTGAAACAATCTAAAGCACAAAATAAAAAAGTTCTGAATGTGTCAGAAAAGCACATTTGAAATTCATAGACACACATACAAACCCAGTTAATAACAAACCTTTATGAAACACAAAGTATTAAAGCATTCCTTGCACCTGAATGTTGTCAGTGAAATGTGTGCGTGTGCTGAATTAATCCCACAATGTTCATACATTAAAAATTCCATTAAAATCAGTTTTCATACATTTTCAAGCTTGGCGAGCTCCCTGAGAACAAACCTACAAACCAGATAATGTTGGTTTAAAAAGAAAAAGTCCAAGTTAGCGAGGCAGCACTTATGCAGTTTGCAACATCGTTTCATCAGTTTCAATTAAAAGCGAACCCCGTAGTTATAAAGACACTCGAACAAATGCTTTCATTTGAAGTACCACTTTGAGGCTTTTGTATTTTTCAAAATGAACACCATATTTTCTATAACACCCTGTGCTCCCTGTCACATCTGACTACTTCTACTCCTCCAGCATTGTTCTGTATGCATATAGTTTGAAGAGGGTGATGTAACAGCCCTTGATTACAGCCGATAATCATTCTGAACAAGTGAAATGGTTTTCGTGCCTTAAAGGACCCGAAAACATATTTTCTCAATCAGTTTCTTACTGTGAGCGATGGGGGACTATATGAACATACTATTTTCTGCCAAAATAGGGTCAGTTTTTGTTATTTCATTTAAGATATTGCTGAATTCCTGGGTCACTTCAATTTGATTTTACGAGGGAGATTAAAAGAAATATTATACTGTAGCAAATGTGTTCAAACCCACATGCCAGATGTTATGGTCGTTTCTTTAAACCCAGTTGGTCCACATGGCTCCAGAAGAGTGTCAACACTGGATCGTTCCTCCTCCACAAGCCTCACACTGCAGTGCCGCCGTCCGGTAAGCCTTCCACACCACCGGGTCCTGCAGACACACCGTGCCACCGCCTCGCTTCTCCTCCGCCTCGTTCCGGTTTATGTCTCCCACACACACCCAGCCTCCTCCGTCCCTTGACCCGGCCTCCTTGGGGCTGACAGCCCACTTGGAGTGGTCTTGGCTGGCCTTGAAGGTGAACGTCTCTCCCGGGTTGATGAGCGTGATGTCCAAGACTTTCCAGCCCAGCGAGCAGTCAGAGGGGAGGATGCCAGTGGAGCGAACCCAGAACTGGACCAGGAGGTCTGACTGGAGGGTGGGGGCCACCCAGGAGTGGTACAGGTCTGATGAGGCAAAGAGGGAGGACATATTTTTATTATTTTCTTGCTAGTAACCTGTCTGCATTATGCTAAAAGATATGTTCTCAGTAAGGAGTGTGAATTATTATCACAACTTAGAACCTGCTCACTTTGGCCCATTTATACCTGCAAAAAGAAACTCAAGGTGAAGCTGACACCAGATGAACTGAGGCCAGAACTAATTTTAAACTACTTTTATTCCTCCAAAGTCATACCATTGTCAAAAGAGGCTCCTTTGGCAAAGCTGATGAAGTTGGTGCCATCCTTTGAGGTCAGAGTCACGCTGCGATTGGACACAGGTTTAATATGTGGAGAGATGTGACCAGACAGATGTTTTTTCTTACAGACAGCGGCCAGCGCAGGAACCAGAGAAGCCAAGGACTCAGGGACGTCGCAGTCGTACACATTAGGCTGATTGATCTGAAGCTGCTCTCCTGTGGTGCAAAACAAATTTGATTTAGGGCAAACGCTGCTAACGGCACTCAAGAATCACTCTATTCGTTAAGTACAGTAAATGAAAAGCACTGTCTTGGTGACATTGGTGCAGAGGCACTGCGGCAACTGTGCACAGCAACAGATGATATAACTACACATACGTAACACATAAGAACCATATTTTTTGTATCTTATATGTCATTTTTCTTCCTTTATTTAAACCTTATTTTATCTACATTTAAATTCAGGCAGAAATTTTTCCACATTTCACAAAATTCTCTTACTTCTCCTGCAATAGATTTCTCTGCGTATGATTCTTTGTTTAACAGCATTGTTAGAAAGAAGCCTGAAGACAGACACCATGACTTGATTTCTTGTTTTTTATGTTAAAGGGTTACTCAGGCAAACTTACAAACTGCTCTTATTTTCCTGTTTTTTAAATTTGGTCTGTTATCTGGGGAAAGAACAAAGACATTCCCAGACATGCTAATAAACCATTAACTTATTGACACAAAGGTGAATTACAATATGCGAGTTGTTTCTTTAACTGGCCTTTGTACAAAAAACAAAATGCAATTTATCAGTAACTACAGTGTTTGATTCTAACCTCAACACATCATGCCTCTGCTTACTGTCTTTCCATGAGCTCCATTAGGGCAGCAACTGACGACTACATTTCATTATTGATTAATCAATCCATTATATTCTGCTTAATTTATTGTGTCTATAAATAGTCAGCTAGTTGTGAAAAATGACCATCACAATTTCTCAGAGTCTAAGTTGACATCTTAACTGCTTGTTTCGTCTGACCAACAGTCCAAAACTCAAACATATTCAATTTACAATGATATAAAACAGAGCTGGAACAAGTGAATGTTGCCCATGTTAGCCATGATAACTGCATGTCTCCAGAGATAGCAGTGTCAGCTCAGTCCACCACTTTGGTTCAGGCTGAAAATATCTCAAGAACTATCAGATGGATCATGTGTACAGACATTCATGGTGCCCAGAAGACCCGTCTTGATGACTTTCTTCTAGTGCCACCATGAGTCTGACATTGTAGTTTTGAGTAAAATGTCCCGGCAAATATTGGATGAATGCCATCAACTTATTTAACTACTCATGATGGTGAACATGGTAAATATACCCGCTAAACATCAGCATGTTAGTATTGTCATTGTGAGCATGTTAGCATGGTGACCAAAACACCGTTACCTAATAAATTACTTTTAATTGACCATTAAAATAGTTTTCAATTGATAAATTGGTTCCAGCACTAATTCTATGCAACAAAACATAAAACACATAAAATAGATAACTGTGCTAATTGTGCTAAGTGATTAGGTTAATTAAAACATAAGCAGGGAACTATTTCTGACAACATACCAGTCGTCACATATTGGACAGACAGTATTTATTAACTCAATGTCAAATCTCAGTTTCCCTCATTAACATGCAAATTGATGCTGCAAGGTGCTTGAAAATAAAACGTGATATGGCTGTGATCACTTTATGCTGTTTGACAAAACATTTATGTGCCGTGCGTCCACGTCATCCCGGACACTGTCACACTCTCAACATCCCAGCTGGAGAGGCAAGGATCTGATGGAGCAAATGCATGCCGCAGTGTGAGCGCTGATATCTCTATGGTAACATACCTCGATCTAATTACATTACCCCCGGCACTGCCATAGCAACTGTGCCAACTGCTGGGTCTGCCAGGGAACTGCACAGGCAGCGCGGTGACATGGTGATGACACCTGTTTACGTTGATTATCTTGGATCAGGATCGTTGTTGTGTCAATACCTGACTTGATTATTAAGTACTGGGTGGCGACAAGACAATAATTACTGGAGAAATTCCTTTCTTTTCAAGACGAGACAGCTCTTAAATAATAATTTACCACCTACGCTAACCGCACAACTCGTGATTCAATATCCCAAGTAAGTAACTTATTTTTTGACAAAGGCAGATATCAGTAGCAGTTTTTTATACTTTTATTGAACAAAATCTGGCTATTTTTTTCAATTTCATGACAAAAAGTGACACATATTTGGGGTTTCAGGGGTATTATAATATTCTTGGGAAAGCCTTAGAAAAAGCATTTAGATTCTCATGGGAAACTCTACTGAAACATGTTGAAACTTGTTTTTAATAAGCAGCTCTTTAAGGCAGAGGAACACACCAATCAATAGCAGGGAAACTCTTGGATATCTTATCTGTCATTACAGGTTGAATAGACTGTCTTCACTTACGAACTTCCATTATACAGGCAGGAGATTGATTCATTTGCTGATATGGTAAATAGTATGAAACCTTGATGCTGAATACGTAAACAAACCAATATATTGGCCTAATTTAATTTGTAATACAGTAGATTTTCTTTCTCAGCATTTTAGAGGCTACAAATGTTTAATATATTGAGCGAAACGGACCTTTTTCACCAATATAGATATACGTTTGATAAGGAATTCCTTCTTAATTAGCAGACAGAAGGCAGAGTATGAATCTTCATTAGCTTTCAGCTCTCATACTGTTATTGTAATCTTACACTCTCATTGAATTAAACAGAATTGTAAAGTGTTAACTGCATTTTTATAGCAACTCTGGCTGTGCTATATTTGGCCAAATTGATATACTTACCGATGGTCTGGAAGCGGTCGAGCGGGTAGGTAACACAGATAAAGTTTTGTCCGTTGGGCACACCGGTGCTGGGGTAATAATACTGTCCTGCCTGTTGTACCGGGGGGAAGTGAGGGGTGCTGTGAACCAACCAGAAGCCCTGATTTTTATCCAGCAGGACAACACCTGAGGAAGAGATATTCAAACTGTCATCAAGGGTTTCCTTCCCTGCAAATCATAAGTAAATAAACCCAACTTTGCTCATTTATTTCTACATATTTAAACAGAAATACAGTGATTTTTTTTTACATGTTAATTCTCTGTAGGTTCATCTCTACCAGGGTGACCCCTTTCAAACTGTCACAGTGTTTGCACTTTGTAATTAGATGGAACTTTAAAAGTCCTCACGAGTCATATTGGCTCTCTCCCTTTTTACACAACTTTAAGGTAGTCATTTATTTGGCCCTTATACATGACTTGTGTGGTTTTAAAATCTCCAAAGTTTCTGAATTTTAGCAGTTTTGTTGAAGTTGTTTTTTTAAACTCTTTTGAAGTATGTAAATCATGTTAGCATGTGTTTAGGTACTTCCCCATACAGGAAGTAATGTATGGCTGTAGTATATAAGCCAACAATATAAAGTGTATAGTGAAGCTTGATTTATGAAATCCTTAATTTTATATAGCGACTGACTTTGACATTTTTGCTTTGACATAATTCATACACTGTTGTCGGATCCGTGATGCACTTCTTCATAATCGCTGATTCTGAGTATGAAGTCAAATCTCTTTCAGCCAACCTGCGCTCTGCAGGTATTAGACTGCTCCGGTGTTCACCTTTTGTGTGCCCCCCTCTGCTTCCACTGTTGTCAACCCATCTGTCACCAAACTCCACAGGTGGCCTCTGGTCATTGTAAAGGATATACGCTAGCTCTGTGTTCTGTGGAGAGGAGACAGCTTTTTTTATCGAAATGAGAAGCCATCACACTACATACCAAGCACACAAAAAAAAAGACACACTTCAGATGAAAACAGAATAAAACAGCATAACATTAGTGAGTTTGGGTGTACAGACGTGTGATAATGCAGTTGAAATCACCTTTCCTGCAGCTGTTTGGAAAAACAGGCCAACACATGCATACAGATGAACAAGTACATTTCAGTTCTTATTCTCAGTTTCTCATTCTGATCTAATAATGTCAGGTGGTTATAACACAGGATTTAACAAGTCTATCTATATATAATTACATATAACTGAGAAGTCTTATGACTGTATCATGAAAACAGAAGCTGACAAAAATAAATGACATCTGCTGTTTTCACTGCTGATACTGCTTGAGTAAAATATACTTTTGTTAAATTGTGGACAGAATACAAATAGATCTCATATTAATACCCAGGAAGATTTTCAACCACCATGGGAAAGATAAATCATGTCATAAGAAAAAGTTAGACTTTGCATGGCCATTTCACATGACTCATACAAATATTACTTATATTATAATCCATGAAAAATAAGTAACTGAAACACTATAATAATTGAAGGATGCTGATTTTCACCTGGGTGACCTCCTAGAAAATGAACTCTTGGTAAGACAAAACTGAATTCATAATGTTTAGACTCGGTATTTGCTCCATTTGTGTTACAGACCAAAAAAATGGAAGCAGACCTTTCCTTGTGAGTACAGTTGTCCGACTGTCCTGCCCAGAGCTCCCGTGGTGTCATTCACTGTCCCGTTCCCATTAGTCCATCCTTCACTCCCTTTTTCCAGCAGTAAATACATCTCGCCCTCTTGGAGAGATTTCCTGCCATGTTCTTTAGGCAGCTTGTAGATATAAAACCTAACAGAGAATGAGACAGTAGTAAAGATGTAAATAAAACCCATTGGGGAAAACTGATTTGTGCATGATTGTTTTTAGCTTTCTTGTTAGGTTTCTTGAGACAACTTAACGGGTTAAAACAAACCATAAACTGTATCTTTAAATGCTTGTTTCGTCCAGGTCTGTTATCAGTGAATTACCAATCAACTGCATCTCCTTGGTCATTGTAGCAGCTGATTGGTGAGGTGTCGCCCCCTAGTGGCTCACAGAAGATCAGCAAGGATAAGAACAGAAACATCTAAGAACAAGAGACAGATTAATCATTGAACGTATATGTGTATATATATATATATATATATTTATTTTTTATTTTTTTTCAAATACAAAAAGGTATTTAGGATATTGGCAAATTAAAGGAAAAACTGACATGTTTCTACAGACATACTAATATGTACATTATGTATTCTTCGCTGTAATCCATCATACTGTTCACATTGACTGCAAAGAGATTCCTTCATAGATACATTTTAAGTGATGAGAGACAAAATCCACAGCCCTTGTTCTGTGTAAAAATGTTCAGCAGACGCTTATAGGCTCATATCAGCATGAGTATTGTTTTCAGACAGATTATCCTTTAAAACCTGCACAAGGAACTGAGGCTTTTGTGAATGAGTGTATAGAGAAGTGGAAGGTACACAAATGTACACTACTCTAAAAATATACATCCAACCACATTTGTTGCTGTGGTAGTTTTCCACTGCTTTACTAAAAGGACCTTTCAACCACTGATGACAAACATTTAATTACACTCAAACTCAAAAGTACTCATTATACAGAGTGACCCATTTCAGAATAATATATGTATATGGTATAACTGCATTAATCATTGATGCATTAATGCTTAAGCATCACTTTAATATTGCAGCTGGTAAAAGTGGAGCTTCTTTTAACTGTTTCATATACTGCTATAACAATACATCAGAATTAATTTGCTGACTTAATTTTGTACTAATAATGTTAATTTGCAAAGTAACTTAATCTATTAAATAAATGCAGTGGAGAAAAATGTAATATTTCCCTATGTAGGAGGAAATGGAAATACAGAAGTGAAGAACAAGCCCCTCTAAAGTGTACTTGAGTACAGTATTTGAGTAACTACACGTTATATTCCACCACTAACACAGTCTATATCTAACACCGGATACAGACAAAACCCTAAATTAAAGATAAAATCTGAAGCTCCAGATTACAAAAAGTCAGACCTAACACATCTGAAAACTGACGCAAACTTAACTAAAGCCAAAAGTGAACATCAGTCACTGCAAGTCGCAACCTTGCTCACTGCAAAGGGGAAAGTAAAGCCACATGTTTACACAGTTTAAGTTCATGCAACCACTTGTACTCACCTCTGGCTCGGTGTGTGTCTCCTCATTTATGTCCCCAATGGATTCTCATCTGGTTGTCAGCATGAAGTAGTTCCCAATCCTTAGGTTTCATCTTCATCTAACATCCTTGTTTGGGTCTGGGACCACAACAGCGGGAGGAGACAGTGACGTCAGGCACGACAGGTTTCGCTCTTACGGGGAAAACTACGGCAGTCAAAGAGAGACACAACACACACACACAGGCTGAGTAGCTGTTTAAGAATAAAATGTGCGAGAGTATGGTTAAACTCGGTGTTTAGTTATCTGTAACTTCCTGGCTCCTGGCTCATCCTTGTCTAAAAGGGCTTGGTTTCAGTCATGTGATTGATGACGTCGACCGGCGGGCGGGGCTATATAGAAAAAGCTGTATCTAAATGTTTTAAATAAAAAGCTTGATAAAAAACATAAAACAGAAGTCCTGAGTGTGGAGTGATATTAATAAACATAAGATAAACACAGACATAAGGTTTTCATTAACCATTTAAGAATTCATAGCATTCATATAAATGCAACATATATATTATTAAATAAGTCACTGAATCTATGGTAATAAAATTTGATCTTTAAGTCTTCGATATCTATATTTTTAATATTTTCTCTGAAACCCTATACAGCATGGAGAGACAGTAAGCCTCCGGAGTACAGTTAGAGCGCACAATTAAATGACCATTTCACAGACACTCCCAAACTACACCACATTAGAAGAAACTGTCAACCAGCCATCTACAAGAAAACAAAAACCGGCGAGCTCATGTTGACCTGGTCAGAATCTGGTCTTTGAAAGAAAGCCAAGGCCATAGCAGAGAAAAATAGATAGATATATATAGAGTATATCAGGCCAACCCTTGGGTAAATAAGTATTGCACACTTCTATCTTAAAAGTGGAACTTGAATCTGTTAGTTGGCCTGCTGTTGTTTCTTTCTGTTCGACTCTTTCGCAATTTTGGTGAAAAGTGTGGTTTTTGTTTTGTTACATGCTTCTTCTTCTTTTCATTTAAAATGTTTATCCGTCTTTATATATCACTTGATGAGCTGGAGCAGAGGCTGGTCGTGTGACAGAATAATACCTGTGTCATCAATAATCTGGAGATATTTCATGACCTTTGACTTCACATCTGAAATGTAAACTTTTTGATGAGTTAATTGATCTTCCTTATTATTATTTGTTAATAATCCAACAAAAGTACAATATTAGTGTTCTTCTATTTGATTTTACAATATGTTTTCTCCTTTTAATGTAGATCTCCACCAGCAGTGTTGGTCAAAGTATTGCTGACAGTGTCACATAAATGTGCTGTTTGAAGAAGTGGCACAGTGTCACCTCTAACCTCACTTGTGCAGGCCGACCCGGACTTCCTCAGAAAGCTTTGCTCAGAGCTGAGTGGACTAAACACACACCAGAGGAGGTCACAGGGTTCCTGAATTATTACAAACAGCATTTCTGAACATCACAGTTAATGCTACATTACATTGGATGTGTAAATCTCCTTTTTGCCTTTGTGGTGATGTGACCTTCAATAAAAATGACTCAGTAGTGTAAATCAAAATACAGGTACTTTGAGATAATACTCCTTTTCAGTCCATTTATTCTGTTAAAAATTAACATCTTTATCTTTGTCTCATTTGTTCCCTAAATGGGACATCACTACCTTGTCTCTTTCTGTGTGAATGTTTTGATTTATGTGCAACGTGCTGTTTTAAAACGATTAGACACCATCACAAGCTTGTGGGAATGTGACCTAGCAAGGGAATGATGATTAATAATAAAGATAACAGAACAGGTTTTTACCTCTTTTACCTCCTTGTTAGCGTAACTGCTCAAATGCTTGCAATTACAGGCTACTGTGTGTTTTATATGCAAATATAAATTGGTGAAAATGGAATAAAATAAAGGATACACACTCAAATGATATTCTCATTAGAGTCTTAAATCTCTTTTTCTCCCGACAACATTTTGCACAAATTGAATAAATGGGTAAATGCAAATGCCTCAGATACACGTTTTGTTTATTTTCTGGAGGAGAATAATCCATATACAGTCAAGCACTGTGTGGCCTTGGAGCTATTATTTCTACACCAACATTCCTTGGTGTGTTTAATGTCTCTGTACAAATAATGAGAAACAATAGAGATTAGAAGACTTCCTCCTCCACATTAACAACTAGAACGCACAAAAAAATCATTCAATCACTCGTCGCAGTCACTCAGTAAAAATCAAAAATTTGGCAAGATAAGAAGGCACATCTACTGATCTTATTTACTATGAAAGAATTAGCAGTAAACGTCACAATCGCATCAGGAACCTCCCTCAAGTCACATCAAAAGCTCTGTTGCTCAAACATTAGCGTTTTTTGCTACAAACTCAAGAGCTTCAACACTGACCAACACTATCAAGAGGAATAGCAATTCCCTAAAACAAAGCATCAACAGGGTCAACAAATAAAAAACCTATTTTAAAAGGAAATCTGGCCAAAAAAAAAAAAAAAAAAAGCCACAATACTGGCTGGCTTCCGCTGTAGCCCCACAGTTTTTTTGTTTTTCATCTCAGGTTTGCAGCAAGCAAGGTAGTTCAGTCCTCTGCTCGTCCATGCGCCCGCCCTGGACTCTCAGGAGCAGGGAGAAGAAGTCCTCGTCGTCCATGGGACCAGGAGCCCTGCTGCGCTGGTCCTCCAGCCTGCCTTGAGCCTGTGGGTGGAAGGTAGGTGTGAAAATGAATGCCTGAAATAATGACTAAAGTCAAATAATTCTCCACTAAAGTTGGCACGGTTTTGCAAAGATGTGTTCTGCTATAACTGTACAACTTCCTCATGATAGACTGCTTACTTGTGTTGTGAGAATCATATTATACAGATCCTCATTGGGCACAGGAACTGGCACAGGAACCGGCGCAGGAACTGGTGAAGGCCTTTTCACAAAAGAGAGTTGTTTTATGCTGCCTCTGAAGCTCCTGGCTTTTGGTTTTGGTGGCGGAGACTTTTCAAGCTGCGCCCTCTGGTCATCCAGCCGGCGAGCTTGAGATGTGGCCACCAGCTCAAAAAACTCCTCTTTCTGCAGTGAAGTCATGGAGGAAAAAACGACTGTGGAGAAATGAGAGAAAAGAGCTTTGATGGTCAGATGGCAGGAGACTTTAAGTGGTCAGTGGTCAAGGAAAGATTTAAAAACACGTAAGTCGCACAGTCACAAAGTACGGGTAGTTTCATGTTGATTTAGCTTGATCGATATGAGTCAGCATCACACACAAATGCAACAGCTGCATCATTCTTCTCAAGGCGCTCCCACCTCTGTTGGCTGGCTTGCTGGTGTTGGGCTCAGAGTGGCACCTCCTCCTCCTGATCCCGCTCTCCAGCCTGAAGGAGCAGCGCTGGTCATTGAGCCGCCTCCCCTCCTGAAGGGTGCAGAGCAGCTCGTACAGGGCCTCCGGGAAGTCAGGGGTTAACCGGTGAGCCTGAGAAACACGCGGGTAGGTGGAAGAAAAAAGTACGAGGGAGGGAGGAAAGGTTTCTCCGTGAGTGGCACAGACTGTTTGTTGGCACAGCAAAACAACTCACTTGACTCTTACGTACTCCCACATGCTCTGTAACGAAATGATACCTGCTGTTTTTTTCCACCACGAGATTGTTGTTCTCGTACGGCACATGGTGGCTGGTTGGTAAAGTCAAGAACATTACAAACAAACACTCTGTTCACTGCCTGCCCTGCTGACTGGTTTATTATAGTGGGTAACCTCACAGGATAAGCCAAAGGAAAATAAGAACAAACCTTTTTTGGATCCTCTTCTTGGTTTTTTGTCCCTTCAGGTTGTTCCTCGGAGGAATTTAACCTCTTTATGTCTACTTCAGGGTTATTTTGTGTGACATTTTCATCCTCTGTGTCACTGGGTTTCTCTGTTTTTTCATTAATCCTCATCACCTCATGAGTCTTCCCTTCACTCTCACCAGCACCGCTGTTCTGTCCATCATTCATGTTCTCAGTTTCCTCTGGTTTATCATCTTCTTTTTTGTCTCCTTCATTCACAACAACCCCTCCTGTTTGGTTGTCCTTTGCGTTGACTGGTTGTTTCTCCCGATTCTGCTCTTCTGAACACATTTTACCCGCTATATCTTCTTCATTCTTGTCCTCTCCTGTATGTTCCTCTTCCTTTTTCAGAGCCGAGTCTCCGCTGCTGCTCTGTGCGATGACAACTGATCTGCTCGCTGCACCTCTTTCGATGACGCCCTCGGTTACGTCTCCCTCTTCGATGATGACGAGAGGTTCCAGCAGCCCCTCCGCAGCCATTTCAACTTTGATCTCTGCGCAGTCCATTAATCTCTTAGTTAAACCCTGACAAGAAGAAACACAGAAAAAGGTCTTAGGTCAAAGATCTTAGGTCAAACACTTTGAAGACCCCATTGTTAATTTTCTCTGAGAAAAATACTAAACAAACATAACACATCAACCCTGAAGTCAGCTATAGAACAGCTGTCTCTTTCTCTTGCAAAGAAATGTTTGTGAAACCAGTTCGGCAGGTTCTAGCGTGTTGACTACACATGTTTAAGATGAAAATCCAACTTTAAGTCATATATTCCTGTCAGCTGTATGATAACAAGATGTGTGATAACATGCTCAGAGGAGATGTCACCTTCTTGTTGCAGATTGATGATTTCTGTTGTGTATTTTGCTGAAACTTTCGCTTTAGTGGACAGATAGAATCTCTTGTTCTACCCCATAAGCTACCTTGTCTACCACCACAGTAAGTAAACATTTAGTAATTTCATTCTTACCGTTATGTTTTGAGCTTTGTCTCTTCAAAGCATCATCTCTTGAAGTCACCACCGACGGAGCACACCATTTTAGCTTGTCCCTTGTCTTTTCAATATCTTTATGTAGAAAAGAAAAAAAACTTGGTATGAACAGTTTCACATACCGACGAGACAAGCTCTCGCCCTTTCTGTCTGCCTTTGCTACCTTCTCTCTCTCGTCTCCTCTCTTCCTGTTCCTCTTACCACCACCCCTATTTATTTGGCCCACATCTGACAAGTCATGGTATTATGAAACCTTACTGTCAGAAGCAGAAGAAACCCCCGCTATGCTTCGGGTCAGTCTAGGTATGGTCCCAAACAAAGGTGTTTTTTCCCCATCACTTGAGATTAACTTAAAAAATGTCAAGGCAGCTGTGAGCAGCTGCTGCTTTAACTGCTGCTCATTTGATTATGGCAGACTCAACTGCTACATGTTGAAACAAGCGCACGGTTTGACACTGATGTGGTTTTGGCACACATCCTGTTGACTTGCTGCTAAAAGGAGAAGTAGAGTCAGACAAGTGAGAGAAGCTGTCTAAGTGAGATTGACATGTTAAAACCAAATTGAAACACAACTTCTTTCATCTAAAAGTCTCTGTTAATGCTTGGAACTAATGCTTACTACTGTAGGCTGACAAAAGAGCACATAATCTACATTTTATTTAGTTAGATCTGTTTCTTTTTGTTTGACTCCTCACACACACACACACACACACACACACACACACACACACACTTCTGCTTTCTGAAGCCACTTTCTGGAGTTGCTGCAAATGAACTGTGGGTTTTTTTTTTTTTAACATCTACCCAGCAGTGTTACCCCTCTGCTGCCTGAGAGTCTACCTCTACCACATGCTGCAGTGTGTTTACATGGCTTGTACCGTTTCCTGTCAATCGCTAGGGGACCCTTGCTTTGTGTGCTATGCCTCGGATCAGGCTGTGTTGTGCGTCTGTGAGCACAGTTGGGCAGCAGTCGTCGCCACTGTGCGTCGCTGAAAATGTTGCAGCAGCAGCCTCTGACGGGCAACGGGCCCTCCAACGGCCGGGGACTCGGCATGAGCGGCCACCCCGGGATGCATGCGCTGAACTCGGTTCATCAACCTTCCCAGCGTCGGTCCGACGGAGGGGACTCGGGCCTCGAGGGCACAGAAAACGGACACGAAACCCGCAGAGATATTGGCGACATACTGCAGCAAATAATGACCATCACCGACCAAAGTTTGGACGAGGCACAGGCAAAGTTAGTGATAAGTTTGATTTTTGTTATTTTGTTTTTAATGTCAGCTGTTTTTTGTTTTGTTTTGGCGCTTTGTCGACTCCGACTTCGGCAAAGTTTCCTCAACTTCAATCTATTGTTTAGATTATTTAGCCAGTAGCTAACTTAATTAGCAATCGATAGCCAATGAAAACAAAGTTGCTTTGTTATAATTAGATTCGTGTGCTGTTGCGTTAGCCGGCGCTTATGCTTTCTTCGCTGTCATTCACAAAACACGCATTTCTTTCATGGGCTTTAAAACGTTAGCTATTGTTAGCTCGCTAGGCTGCTAATGCCAGCTAGCAAAGGCTACAATAGGTAGCTAACAGGTGCAGCTAACGCAGACGTTAAAAGCGTATATTCCTCCACATGTTAAGACCTAATCATATCATAAACGAATACAAATATATTGCCAAACTCAACAGCTACTGGCTTACATACCTGTGAACAGCTGGCCTCTTTAGCTCTTGGCGTTACGCTACGTTTAGCCATGCTAAAAGAGAACTGGGTAAGTCACTCAAATGTGTGTTTTTGTTTTTGTCTCTTCTTCTTCCCTCTAACGCTAGCTGAAAGTCACTGTATGTGTGCTTTTATCTCTTGTGCACAGGAAACATGCGCTCAACTGTCACCGAATGAAACCTGCATTATTCAGCGTCCTGTGCGAGATCAAGGAAAAAACTGGTAACGTTGTTTGGTGTTACTCTTTACTTTAGGTTGCCTCTGTGTTTGCCTCCATGCATTTGTTGTCTGTGTGCAGTGGGGCTCTTTGGGTTGTTGCAGCGTTATGAGACTGTGTTGACAGTGTGTCATCAGAAGCCAATTATATTAAAAACACACACAGAAAAAGGAATTTGACTTTGTCAGTAACTGTGTGTGTTTACTTGCAATGTCAGAAACAAACATACAAGAAGATACATGTAATTAGACAGCTATTATGTAAACTGTTATTGGGTATAAAAATAGGGACAACAGCTGAACAGTGCCTACAGGGCAATGCAATACATGTAACTGTACTGCAAGAGTTCAACTCCTTTACGGTACAGTAAATGTGCGGTGGTGGACAGTGCTGCTAGATTTTTGTAGATTACATTTGATGTTTTCCTTTGTTGTAACAAGCAAGCCACTCTTTAAAGTCATATATTTAAAAACAGATTCCCTCAAAGACACTGAGAAGTTACGGTCGTCTGTCTTTCAGTCTAGTGAAACTGCTCTGCACAGGAGGAGGATGTTCTGATGTGGGTAGTAAGTAAATGTTTAGTAGCGTGATTAGAAAACTGTAAACAGTATGTGATAGTGGCATATAGAGTAATGACCCCTTTCAAACAGAGTGCATCAGTGTTTCTGTTGGCTGATCCTGCAAAAAGCCTGAGCCAGGAGTTGCACCAAAACAGGAAATGCATTCATGGGTTCATCAGTTGTGTTTAATGGGTGATGGAGGGAATATTCACATTCAAAAAAAGTGTAATGTGACTGTACCAGTACCCCACAAAACTAAACAACAGTGACATGTGTCTTATTAGGCCTGTCAATGAGGAACGCTCAGGAGGATGAGCCTCAGGATCCTCAGCTGGTGCGATTGGACAACATGCTGCTGGCGGAGGGTGTGGCGGGGCCGGAGAAAGGTGGTGGGGCTGCTGCTGCTGTGTCTGCTGCCACCAGCTCGGGAGGGATGTCACCTGACAGCTCGCTCGAGCACTCCGACTACAAAAGCAAGTTGAGCCAGATTCGCAGTATCTACCACACTGAGCTGGAGAAGTATGAGCAGGTACCGTGTCGCAACAGGAGACGAGCGCTGACATTGCCCGTACACGCTTGCCTGTACTAAAGCTGCTCGCCAGAAGCGTAATCCATTGGCATGTTAGGCCTAGAGTTCACTCACATAACTTATCTCTGCCGGGGAATACACTTCTGTCCTTATGTTGCTGATCAGAACACACCAGGTATACGCTCCGTATCTCTGTATGAGAAGAGACATCTTAAGATTATTAGAGCAACACATATTCCAACCTACACTGAAGAACATCATTCAAACCATTGTAATGATACTTATCAGCAACATACAATACATTTTTCCTGCAACGTGAATTAAAACCTTCAAAATGTTTGAGTTGCCTGTTCAACTTTCTGCACATGTAATACATAAAAAAAAAACCTTCTACAATAAGCTTGTATTGAGCTAAGCTGTTTTATTGGGCATCCAAATGCTGCTTTAACAGTGGAACATACCAGCTATGCAAAGACCGTTAGTAATTATGCTTATACATGATTATACATGCTTACTGTCAACAGTCCCATTAAGCTGACAATTTTCAGAATGTTTTAATGTGACATTTTCTCCTCTGACTCCTCTCATGTCATTAAATATAGAATAGGCTTTGATAAGTAATAACAAAACCGCAGCATCATTGCTTTGCGCGTTTCTTTCCTTCACTGTCCGTCGTCTTATGCCTCCCCTACCCAGGCATGCACTGAGTTCACCACCCATGTTATGAATCTGTTGAGGGAGCAGTCGCGCACACGGCCCGTGACTCCGCGGGAGATAGAGCGCATGGTGGCCATCATCCACCGCAAGTTCAGCTCGATCCAGACCCAGCTGAAGCAGAGCACCTGCGAGGCCGTCATGATCCTGAGGTCCCGTTTTCTCGATGCCAGGTAGGAATTTGTGGTTGTTGTTTTGTTTTTTTTAAGGCATACTGCAATGAAATCTGTCTATGAGTATCAAATTCTCACTCCTGGTGGCAAAAACGTGCACTTTGTCCCTTTTTATTTTTAGAGAACAGTTACTGTAGTCAGCTTGGATTCTTTGGTTTCAAATGACAAATGAGAGTCGCTGTAAAAAATAAAATACAATAAAAGTGACAATCCTAATGCACTTAGGTTCATTTTATATACATACATTTCCTAATCCGACAGATGTGTTTGTTTCAAACAAAAATTGAGAGTGAAAATAATTGCAAAGAGAAAAAAGGCAGTAATATGCAGATATATATCGATGCCTCTTGTTCAGAATTCATATTCAGACTTTTCAAGTTGCACCTATTTTTAGACACAATTCTAGGTCGAATGTATACTAACTTTTGTGGAGCATTTTCTACTGACATAGTGGCCAGCATGTGGGAGTGTATAGAAAAAGCATGGGCATAAATAGTAACTGTGGTGGGGTGGGGGTGGGGGGAGAAACATTATAGTATGTTTTCAAATACTTATCACCTGTTTGTATCTTCTCAGGCGCAAAAGACGTAACTTCAGCAAACAGGCCACAGAGGTCCTGAATGAGTATTTCTACTCCCACCTGTCCAATCCTTACCCCAGTGAAGAAGCCAAAGAGGAACTCGCCAAACAGTGTGGAATCACCGTCTCTCAGGTAAACCACTGACTGTACTTTCAGGAACAAGCAACAATAAAACAGTTCTGACTTGATCTAAGAAGGAAATTCTTTGTTTCTAAAGCTGTGTGTTATTGAGTTTTAATGTCAGTGAGCAAAAAAAAAGTAGGAGGTCTTCTGTACTTAATCTTAAAGATAGCATTTATAATTCCTCAATAGCACGATTAAGCATTTCTGTGTGTTTGAATCTGCCAGGTCTCCAACTGGTTTGGCAACAAGAGAATCCGCTACAAGAAAAACATTGGCAAGTTCCAAGAAGAGGCCAACCTTTATGCTATGAAGACAGCTTTGGGGGCCAGACAGGGCGACGATTCCCCACATACTCCAAACTCCACAGGTACCAAAAGACGTTGAAAGCTACAGTATGCGACTACTCATCTTGAGGCAGTGAAACATATTGTTAGCTCCATGTTTTTCTGCCTCAGTATGTCCGTCCCTGAACTTGTCAATCAAATGTCTGAGCTGTGTACCTGAACACAATGTACAACCTGAGGCTGAGGAAAGTAAACATGTTTGGCGTTGTCAGGCATTGGAGAAGCACATAGCAAACAAGGATAATTTATAGTCACAATAGTAATTCCAACATTTGTGTTTTTTCAGTAAACTGCGTTTCCTGCCACAGCCTTGTTTGGAATGGCTTTTATCTTAAGTTTTAGACAGAAACACATCCTTTGTCTTCACATTTTAAAGGCAATATAACACAATGTAGAATTCCATTATGCCATTAATAGCATAATCATGTCTGTATGTAACTAGGTTTACTTCTTGTGATTACTAAGATTCTCTCTCCTCTTTCTTTAGGGTCTGGGTCCTTCTCTTTGTCTGGGTCAGCTGACCTGTTCCTCGGGGTTCCACCTGTGAACGGCGAGCAGTCTACTTATCAAATGGGCATGCAGGTACTTTATACCACTTCGGGCATAGTTGCACACATATTTAAATGATATGGCCGGTGATACTGTCCACAAATTACATAAAACATCAAAACCAAGTAAATGTATACACTAAAAAGGGTTATATATATCTTATTCCTCTGTGTCATAGAGCTCTGTTGTTCTCCAGTAAATATTAAAAACACACCAGTGAACCACACTGTTTCACTGGGAGGGGAACACACACACACACACAAACACACACACCACACACACACACTATAGTATAATTGGAGTTGATCCCACATACACCGACATGGTGCTGTGAATACTCACTACAACACCAGATGTGTATAATCCCTAACAAATGCACTATTTACTCTTGTTTGAGCAACATTTGCACAAAAAAAATGGCACCCAGCTGTTAATGGTAATTCCTTTTCCTTTAAAAGAAATATCCTCAGTAGAAGAGAGGCAAACTAACACATTGTTGGTTTTGGTCTTTTCATGGGATTTGTAATATAGAATAACTCGAGCCTCTTTCTTAAAAGAAATACCAACTGTTTTATGTCATTTGCAATTCAGCTTTTTTTTTATCAGTAACTCCTATGATGGATATTTTACATCACTATCAACCAGGGCTGCACCTGATAATTATTTTCATTATGGATTAGTCATTTGGACTATAAAACATGAGAAAACAGTAAATAATGCTTGTCAAAATCTTCTGGAGCTCAAGGTGACGTCAAGAGAAGGAAAAGCTTCTCATATTTGAGAATCTGAACCCTCAAACGTGGCATTTTTGAGTGAAAAAAATATTTTAACGCTTGACTGATTATCAGAATAGTTAAAGATTTAATTTTCTATGGATCGACTAATTGATTAATTGACTAAACCATGGAGCTCTATAGTTTTTGATGATCAAGGTATTATAATGTAATGTATTAAAGTTTTTGGGATAAGTCTAACATCAAAGACCGAACAGGTGACTGCTGAACAACTGACTTGTGAATCAGTACCCTCAATGTTTCCAATAAGCACCCGAACACACCAGCAAAGAACAGTTGACAGCTGCATTACCTCCAAATGTAACATAACTTTCACAAAACCTAACCAATTGTGGTGTTAGCTGGGATAGATTATCTCAACAGTAGCTACCTATAAAATAGAAAATCTATACAAAACATCTTAAGATGGCGCAGAAGAGTTGGTAGGAATGGTAAGTATACACCTTTGTAGTTTAAGGGGCTAAACCCACAATGAAGAATGACACAATGCAGACACAAGTCACTTGTTGTCCTCTAACACCTCTTGTTTGTTCCTGTGTTGTTTTTCTTCCAATTTCTCAGCCTAATGGGAACTGGCATGGTCGAAACTCTCCCCCGTCTGGCGCCTCACCCCACAGCGACCACTCGGAAAACTCTGACTGAGGGCCCTGCCCGCCGGCACAGAACGACAGCAACGGAAAGTTTGATGACGGAAAAAGACAGAAAGAATGATTTCACACTTCCCACTTGGCTGCAGTTCTTTTTGTACGTTGTTTGTTTGGTTTGATTATTTTAAATGTACACTGTTTTCTTTTCTTACCGCTCAGCGTTGGTAATTATTATGTTTCTATGATTAGCTGAGTGCACGGATGGTAGAGTGAAAGTGTGTGTGTGTGTGTGTGTGTGTGTGTGTGTGTGTGTGTGTGTGTGTGTGTGTGTGTGTGTGTGTGTGTGTGTGTGTGTGTGTGTGTGTGTGTGTGTGTGTGTGTTGTGTGCATGCAGGTGTGGTTTTATTATCGGGGTTGTAGGGTTTGTTTTCCACTACTTTTGACATGTTACTGAGGTGTGTGTTTGTGGTTGGGTATGGGAGGGGGGAGGGGCTGCAGTATCATTGTTTTTAGCACACTATATCATTATTAATATTATTGCTGTTTTATTATTAGTGCTACAACTATTTTCGTTTTAACTGCTCAGAAAGAGAGAATGCATTTAGTGGATGAGAGGGCAATAGAGAAAAATCCAAAGATTTTGTGTGTTTGTTTCTCTGTTTTGTTTGTTTGTTTGTTTGTTTGTTTGTTTGTTTTTCTACCGGGCTTATGTGTCCCTGTACAATGAATGGAGAGTGACTGAGTCCACATTAACGGTTTGAATGAGTATATCAACAGTGCTGTCTTTTTTCTGTACAGTGAAACACCTGTATTCTCTCTACCTCTTTTACAATAAAGACTCTCTGTATTCACAACCAGATGGTGATCGTGCAGATTTATGTCAAGTCGAGAGGTCGTGGTGAAAAAACTGGAGGTATTGCCTCTCTTTCCAGAGCTTAATTTATGGTGCTCACTGCATTGAAAATTAAGAAATATAGCAGTGCATCTTTCCAGTAATAATGGGCTAGTTTTTTCAGTTCTGTGCCAAATTCTAGTTTCAACATTTAATTTATATTGTACTGATGTGATGCATAATTCTGTAATTAATTTACTTTTTATTTCATTAGTTTATTGAAAAGGTACATTTTCCATTTGTTGCCTGTGGCTGGATGTTAATGGCTCCCTAAAATAGAATAAAGCATTATATATACAACTCATACAGCGGGCTACAATTCAAACAAAAAAAAAGTTATGTTTAATGAAATAATAAAGTATATAGGAGCCACCCTAACAGGTTATTCCCAGTGTAATGTGGACATTGCTCCTGGAAAGATATGTTGTATTTCATTTTTGAAAGAAGTGTGAGCACCACAAACAAAATTGAACTCAATTGTACTGGGATAGAGTCAAAAATCTTAAAGATAATTTCTCTCAACCTGGGAAAACAAATAAATATCTACATGGCTACCATCTTCCCCACTATAACAACCAACCACAAACCCTAACCTCTCACAGTTTGGACAAATAATGGACCTTATTACCCTTATCAAAGTTGGATTGTAATTTCATTCTCTAGACTTTAGAGGTCAGAAGACTTTTTGGTGGGTTTGCATCACTTAACTTAACCTAATATAGATTTTAATGCCAAAAAGATGTATGAATATTACACTATACTGCAATTCATCAGATATAAATGAACACCAACTTTATGACGCTGGGTTAGAAAACAAATAAATTGTTTGTATGTTTCTATCCTGCAAATGTAATTTTTTAAGCATTGGAGCTGGAAACCTTTAATAATGTAACTTTTCACACAGACAAATAAGGAGGCTACACCTTTCTTTAAATTAACCAAAACGTTAAGCTGAGATAGGGTGTTGCGTGTGGCGTTAAATACTGTAGGATACTCATGCGCCCCAGCTATAATGCAATCAAGCCTGTTAATTAATCTACATCAGCAAAGGACCCCTGAGGGCCATCGGGCTCCAGTTCACCAACTATAATGTTAAATCAAAAGGCTGACACGTGTGCGTGGTCGCTGCCACTCGGCTTTCCCACGCTCGCCTGGGAGCATCAAAGGGTTTCCGCACCCAAATGTCGAACAACTGTGGCGCTAAACGGCGCGCCAGCACGAGACAGTCGCCCAAATGGCACGCGTGGTCTATTGTGACAAGTAGGTGTGAATGCAAAATGTTAACCATTGTTACACCTCACCCTGCGGATTGACTAACAAATGCAAAGGCGTCAAGTGTGAGGGCAAAGTGTCGGCACTCGCCCGAAAGTGAGCGCACAGTTGATGGCAGGGAACAAGGACGAAAAAAGACAAAAGCTAAAAAATAACCAGTCAAAAGTGATGTTGAGCGATTTGGACAAAATAATAGGCTTCAATTTCTCACTTTGGCACCAGAAGTTCCATCATGCAACCTCAAATCAACCTTCAACCTCAAAGGGTGCATGGCGCAACTGTACTGACTTTAGTGCACCCAAGTCTCTCCGTTGTCCAATCCTACAACATATTAGGCGACTGATATCACAAGAAAACAACAAATCCTACTGGAATGTAATAGGGAATATTCAAATAATACAATGAAAGTGCAAAAACATCACACATACTCACCATCTAGTGAATATCAGTGAAAACTAAAGTTGTTATGATTATAAAAGTTTTTAAATCGTCCTAATTTACTGTCTTTGTTAAGATTTTTGATTTTCTTATTTTCAGAATAGCAAATCTGAACTGAAATTATCTATATTTTAAGGTCAAATACCAAATTCTGAATGTTCATTACGCATTTCTTTTTAGGAATGGCTTTTTACGCACCGGTTTTTCCCGTAATAAGTTTTCATACACACGTGTCTTGTTGTAGCTTAACCTCAAACCGGTTTGTTGTTGGATAATAAGATAATTCAGTTTAATCAAATGTAAAGTACCTACATTGCAACGAGGGACCGTGGGGAGGTGGTGTGGGTGCGGGGGGGAGGTGGTTGGGATTGTAAAATTTGGTCGGGTGGGAGGAGGAGTCTGGCTGGGAGGAGGTAAAAGGGGCAGCCGTGGGACACGATCTTCAGTACCTGATCAGTTACAGACTGTGAAGGAACACTGGATAAGGATAGACCAATGGCTACAATGAAACTGTTACAGGACATGGAGGATGCACCAAACGAAAGAAAGGTAAATTAAATCTTAATCCATGTGTTACATATTGTTTTTTACAACTACTGCTATTTTGATGATTACTCTTGGATTGTTAGGTGGTTGAAATGATAGCGTTGTCCCAGTCAAGCAAAGAGGAAAACGTTTTGTTTTTTTTTCTCCTCTAGTTCATAAAATCTCAGGTGGAGAAACGTAGAAGGGAAAGAATGAACCGCAGTCTGGAGTGTCTGAGGACCATGTTGCTGCAGGAACCACAACAACTGGTAAAAAAACACATCTGAATGCACTTGCAGACTTTCCATCTTTGTTTTAGTACTTCAAAAATGTATTTATCATTATTTTTAGACAACACTAAAAATAATAGCCTCATCTCAAACACTTGCTTTATAGAAATATGTGATATACAATAACTATATAAATATACAATATCAAAGAAAAACAGTGTTATTTGAACAAGCTATATTTATAAGGGAATGTCATCATCATCCATTTGGCTCCATTAACTCATACTGATGTTTTCATGCAGGGCGGGACTCAGCACAGAGTGGAGAAAGCTGAGATACTCGAGCACACGGTCCTCTTCCTCCAGAACACTGCCAAAGGAGACAACACAAGAGCTGGAGGTGGTGGTGGTGGTGGAGGAGGCCAGAAGCACTCCTTCCAAGACGGCATCTCCACCTGCCTGCAGAGAGCTGCTCACTTCCTGGGCCCCGAGGGTAAAGGCCTGTGGCTCGGAGCAGCGCTGGATGCATCTTTTGGCGTCCAGAGGAGACCTGATGCTCAGTCCTCCTCCAGCTCCCTGCCGCACACAAAGTCCATTCTTCGGATGCTGAGGCAAAAGTCCAAGCACAGACTGCATTCACAAGCCTTCAGCGTGAACAGTTTTGCTCATCCGTACCCACTTCCGGTCCAGCATGGGTTTCCCAGAATTCCTCAACAGCCTCAGAGACAGCTTGAGATCAGGGTGGAGAGACAAGTAGGCAAACAGAGCCCGTCCCAGAGCCATCCAGTTAACCAGACAGTGTGGAGGCCCTGGCCTTGATCAGTCAACTCTGAAAGTGAATTTGTAATGACTCTAACAACTGATTCATATTCACCGGTGCCATCTGTACTCTTCCTGAAAGAACATGGTCTTGCAAGCAACGGCCTCCAGTCTTCTGATAACGCATGAAAGTGTTTGCTATTCACCTCAAAGCCTGTAAATAATGTAAAAATGTCATTTGTACATGTGCTGTGTGTGTGATAGGGTTGACTCACTACTATTGTTTAATGGTTTCGAATGAGCGCAGTCAGTTGGGCAGCCATATATTCTGCTGACAGGCACAGGGACTCACCCAGACTGGGACAGACGTGAGCCGGATCATGTGGCTGAGGCTGAGCCGTCCGGCTGGAACTGCTGCTGTGCTCAAGAGCAAGTTTAGAGGTGAGTATCATGGAGCCAAAGAGTTTCTGTCCACCTTCACATACTGCTCAAAACTCTCCTCTGCGTCTGCTGTCATTGTTCAAGAGTGTGGTACTGAAGTGGATAATGATTGAGTGTCCATTCATCACATTTCCAGGTGTGGGACCTCAGGGTTCGAGGCCAGGAGAGCCCCATGGAGCCCCTCACATTCACCTGTGGGCCATGATTTCTGCCAGCATTAATGACATCTGTGGCTCTATGTACAATATAACGTGTATTGTCTTTATATTTTATATATTTTGTCTATTTTGCACACTAATTTATTATGAATGTCTCCCTATGGTGAGCAGTACTCTTTTTTTATACAAAAATAAAAACATTTAAAAAAAAATGAAAATGAAGCATGGTGTCAAATTATTTTTTTTTAACAGAATCAGATGCAAGCTACAGGCCTTTTGTTTGCATTGACAGCTCTTTTTAGTTTTGTGTCGGACTAGTGTGAAGCATGGTGTCCTGCAGAGCTACATCCTCTAGGTGTGAAGTCTGGCCATGAGGTGACACAGTTCAGTAGCAGTTCTCACTTCAAAGACATCAAAGACAGCCCTGCTCACACATTATTCACTCTGTTTGAAAGCCTTTTTGGATTAAACCAAGAATAAAAAAGATAATATAGCCTGGAGCAGTATTTGCAAAGATCTACCATTAAAAAAAATCTAAAATAATTAAATTGAATCATATAACAATCCAGATTTAGTTTCCACCAGAGTGTGTTTCCACCCATCTATTCTGTTCTAAAAGAAGTCTTATGTCTGGTTCAAAATATAATTTCTTATATAATTACTGTACTCCTGTCCATGTCAAACTTTTCCATAGTATCACAGCACTAAATTGCTCTGCTTTTCCAATATGGAGTACTTTAAAGTGTAAATACAAACGTCAAAAAACTCTGTACCTCACAGGATGAAGCTGACTGATCTCACCCCCCACCCCCGCCCAGCTCATGTCCCCGTTTGTTTTCAGTGTAATTAGTATTCATTCTCTCACCCACATGGTCTCCTGCATACAGGCCAGTCGTTTTCTGCGCGTGTCCGGTGTCACTTCGCAGGAAACAAAACGTGTCTTAACACCTCCTGCAGCCCTTTGAAGTTCAGTCACACTCAGAGGACATTTGTCCTCCTGTCTGATTGTTGTATTTTAAATTATTAGTTATTTTTTATCAAGAAAAGGTCATATTTAAACAGTTTTAAACCGACATAAAAACAAATTTTATTAAGAAATTATATTTCAACTGCTGCTGTATGTTAAATGATGTGTTGGCCTATCATTAGGCTCTGTAGTGGAATCAGTTAATTATGAAAAATCAAGAACGCAGTCACCTTTATTTATGGAAGAGTTTGTTTACTTGGATAAATATTGACATAAATCTAAACTATAGTGATGGAAACTTCAGTAAAATGTTGTATTATGTATTATGCTTGGTTATTTTTACCCATTCGAACTTATTGACCAGCAGTTGCAGTTACTTTAGTCAACCATTGTTTGGGTGAATCTGATCTAATGTGAGACTGCATGGGAGACACTTTTCTGTCTCTTTCTCATGGGAAAAAGAGAACGAAGCGCCCATTTGCACTTTTATTATCTGTTAGAATTAGTACGCCATTAAATGAAGTGTGTGGAGGGTTGAGAGCTTACAGGTTCCCACACACACACACACACACACACACACACACACACACACACACACACACACACACACACACTGGTCACTCAAATGCAAATTAGGCACCAGGCTTTTAATTATTTTACACCTATTCGTTGAACTAATTGTAGGTTTCCCTCAAATTCACTGAAGAGAACTGACTCAGTAAAATGTTTCACGGCAAAATTCATAAGCCTATTCCGCATTTGTGGTTGATATTAACTTTATAAAAACACGGCCATGTTCCCCTGTAGAAAACTGTGTCGTGGGTTCTTGTGAACACAGATCTCTGTTATTATTCCTTCATAGAGTTCATTTTAATGCACTTAAATATGTTGTTGTTGAGTTGAGTAAATAATTGAATTGAAGCCCAGCTGGACTGTCAGTGAAGGTACCACCACTCTACTGGCTTTATGGTCGTCTTATTGTATTATTCTATTATATCTGGGACTTATCTCAGTGATATTTGGGACATTTATATCATGTCTTTCTAAATGAAGTCCTAGGCACGTGCCAAACAATATCATAGACGATAAACTCTCCGGCAAAACATACAAAGATAGAACAATAACAATAAAATACAATATATCTCGACGGAACTGACGAGTAAGCGTTCCTCTAATATATATATATATATATATGAATGAATGAATGAAGTCTTGAAGTCTGTCACATATTGTGTTGAGTCAAGTGTTAAGCGTTTTCCAAATGGCGCGTGTGTGTAGGTGTGAAGTGGTCGCGTGGTGCTGGAGCTGCTGCGCGTGTCTGTCTCACTGGGTTGAGTTAGTTTCAGAGTTTAAAGGGTCAAATAACAAAGACACTGTTTGTTTCTGCGGGCAATGAGTAAAATAAATCTAAGGAAGTATTTATTGACTGAAAATAAGAATTAATCTCTAAAATCAACAGCTGATCAAAACTGACCTCAGAGGTCTAAAAATATTGTTTTCCCTCTAAAAAATGAACTAATAACGCTAATAACTATTAAGAAACATTGAGAACACGACAGTGGTGGAGAGTAACTGAGTAGATTTGCTTCAGAACCTTTTAAGGGTACTTGTACTTTACTTGAATATCCATTTTATGTCACTGAATACTAATATTATACTTTACATTTCAGAGGGAAATCGTTATTTCTATACTGTTTGACATTTAGAGACACTTCCTTTACAGACTGAGGTTCTACATTGTAAACAAAACCCACATATGATACGTTTATATAGAAACCTTCAACTTGTGACCTCTTAATTAAAATAGTGCCTGGTTGGGACCCTTTGCCTCGTTGTTCTTATAGCATTTCCACAAAAGAGAGATTTTACCTCTAAACTTATCTGAACTCATTAAATAATAACTGACTGAAACTTCAAAAAAAGAGCAAAGGTTAGAGAAACATCCAAAACTTTTAATGCAGTATTTTTACGGGTTTTTTTAGTGGTAGTTTTACCTCAGTAAAGTACTTCTTCCACCACTGCAAAACGGACTGGTTACATAAACAATGTGCCTGAAGATAAACTGTTATGATGCTGCGGGGAGGATGAGGCAAATGGCCACGTGTTCTCCAAACCTAATAACAACAAATATACATAAATAAATCTCCTTTCGTCAATGCACATTTGGCCTCTGACACAACAACATGCAGACAAATGCCGAATAAGTGTGACAGTGGGAGAATGTCCCCCAGCTCTTTCTCATCATGGGAACGTGGAGCAGGAGGCTGCATCCTCACTTTATTACCTGTTAAAACCGATACTTCATTTATGAAGTGTGCTCGGAGGAGAGGTGCCTCTCTGGTTCCCACTCGCACACGTGGAACTCAAAATAGTCTACAGGGTGTGACAAGAGTCAAACAATGTTTTGTCGTTTTGTTGTAGTACTGTAACTTAACACAATTATTGGAATAGCCGCGCGTAAAAGGTTCTACTTTACGCGTAAAGTCTTTTTACGCGTGCCGCGGTTGTCCCTTGAGAACTACAGTATGAAAATCTAATGTACTACCTAAAGACCGACAGTAAAATATTGCCCTTGGTAACTGATCCCACAACAGACTTGATTTAGTTGTGTCTACTGAGTGTGGGAGACTGTCAACATCTTCAAACTTTCAGTAATCTTGGCAAAAGGTGGGAGTCGCTCCCTCAACTTTCTCTCATGGGAAAATTGGGCAGTGTGCTCTAGTCACACTTTATTACCTGTTAGAATCGATACATCATTACAAAGAGTGTTTGGGGGAGACGTGGCTTTCGGGTTCCCACGCGCTGCTTTTCAGAATGCCATCATTAAATGTGCCGTCTCATTATTTCACAGGTATTTGTAATTTTACGCGCGACACATAGATGAACTCTCAGGCAGACTTTGCAGATTGTTTGTAGATTCAGAAGCATATGTTTAATGCAATAAAATATGTTCAGCTTTAACCTGTAGTTTTTGACTCGTTAGCTTTGTTTTACATCAAAGAGACAACACATTACAGAGCTGCGCGTAAAAGAGTGGATTTTACGCACGGCCAAACAGTTGACCTTTTAGCAGATTTTACATAATTTATGACTATCTCAATCATCAGTGAGTCACTAAAAGAGCGCTTATTCAAAATGTTCTCGATTTTGTCTGATTGTTTCGGCTCCACACTCACTGTGTGAGTGTCGGCCTGAGGGAGTCTAGTTTCGCCGTCAGTAATAACGGCGTGAGAAGTCACCCACGGTCATTTGTCTGAGTGTCACGCTGTTTTGGCGGATGTTTGTTGCTTTTCCCTTACATGTGTAAATAATTCTCACACGAGCGGGTAACACCTTTCACAGGCGCGTGCCGCCCTGTGGGCAGCTGCACGTGCCTCCAGACTAGTGAAGGCTCTTTAGGCGCATCGTTCACTCTGCATTCATTTTCTGGTCAAGATGTGTTAAAAAGAGATAATTAAGAACAAAGTGAAGTAGAAAATTAATAGTATATATATATATATTAGAATATATATTACATTTCTAACTTATTTTAACGTTTAAACATTCATAGTTCCACTGATTAATTTCCACTGATATGGCCAACTCTTCACTTTTTAACTGGAGGAGACTTAAACTGCAGGAAACCAATTAGGAGTTGCATATTTCACAGACATTAACGAATTGGTAAAACTGAGTTTAGTAGTTTCAGCATGGAGTAAAACCCAGAGTAAAAACAAGTCTGTGGTGGGTGGAGCCTAAAGTTACGCCCACCTATGGCTTAAAAGCCCTCACTGAAGACTGAGAGAGCACATTCAGCTGTGACGGAAAGACCGATAGATCTGCTGTTACTCTTGGATAGTTCTTGGAATACAACCATGAAATTGCTGCAGAATTCAGAGGACGCAAAGGCACAAAGGAAGGTACTTGTATCATTTATGCTTTCATTGAATATCACAGATAATTTTGTAGTAAATCACAGGATCTGTTATACACGAGATGCACATTACTCCGTGTATAAACATTTCTAATTTCAATCATTAATTTTATTTTTATTTTCTCGTTTCGTTTCTCGTAGAGCCTCAAACCTCAGGTGGAGAGACGTCGAAGAGAGAGAATGAACCGCAGTCTGGAGAGCCTAAAGACGCTTTTACTACAGCGACAGGTAAAAGCCACATAGCTCTGGTGGTCAGGTCATCCTCCAAGATGAAAGGTCTTTTATTGAGTCTGAGAAACCGTTTATTAAATCTTTTTTTCTGT